TAAAAAATTGCTCGACCGTCGACAATGGCGCTAATATATGCAATAATTTCTATCAGTTCTTAAACAAATAGCAAGATATTCACATTTATCAGCGGCATAATACCTTTGAGTAAACATTTATCTAATTACTGTCAAAATATTCTCTGGGTTTCTATAACACATTTTGTAGGAGTGTCAGTGTGTCGCATAAATCACACACAATTATATCGACTTTCTTCTGCATGTCAGCTCGAACGAACGAGGGGTCTCTGACTATCCGAGAGTATCACCTGAACATTCAGCTTTTTTTTAGTTGTATGGAAACTTACTTTCAGTAACTAACAGTCGTAGCTTGAGATTTTGTATCAGAAAAGCAGAAACAGCCAGAGGCATCTGAACATTTGGATTTTTCGCCAAAATAGAACTATTAGGACCGAAACAATTTTCCCACGCCTCGCATTTCTGCGATCCTGATTTCAAATCTTCAGCCATGTGATTTTCAAGAGGTGTCGGTCTGATCTGTAGTTTCCTCTAACGTTTGGTTTTGTATCAGGAAAGCAGAAACAGTCAGAGGTGTCAGAACATTTGAATTTCCTGCCAAACAGGTATTAGGAGCGAAACACTTTTCATACACCTACTCACATTTCTGCGATTCTGATATCGAACCTTTATTTATTTGATTTTGCAAGAAGTGTCTGGTCTGATCTATGATTTCCACTGGCCTGAGGTTTTGTGTGAGCAAAGCAAAACGGCTAGAGATATCTGGACATTAGGATTTTCCGCCAAACTAGTATTAGGATCGATACACTTTTCACACACCTCGCATTTCTGCGATCCTTACATTAAGTCTTCATTCGTGTGATTCTGCAAGAAGTGTCTGGTCTGATTTGCGGTTTCCATCCGATTGACGTTTTGTATCAGGAAAGCAGAAACAGTAAAAGGTATCTGAACAGTTGAATGCACCACCAAACTGGTAGTAGGATGACTCTAATCTGTCCCAACTGTGAATGGTTTTCTGTATTAGAAAAATCTTCCTCGACTTACATTCTAATTTCGCCTGTATTTGTGTATTTTACAACGTTGGAAGACCGGAGTGAAGACAAGAGTCGGCACATCGATCAAAAGGCTGATGTGGGAAGAATTGCTTTACTATATCGATTTAGATAATGTATGCTGCAAGGTAGTAAAATGAAACAATTTAATCTAAATAAGTAAAAACGTTACTATCATTAAAGCGATGATAGATTTTTCTTTGAATAGTTATTTTTCTGCATATCTCGCCTAGTTACAAATTGTAAAGATAAATCTTTGTCCTAACCCTTCTGCCAGTCGCCGTTGAATTGACAATAATCGAATAGCTCGCCAAAGAATATCCAGAAAGCTAAATTTTAATGGTTACAAAAATGATAACTTTTTCATAGAATGAAACACTAGCAGGCACAATCATAAAGTGGCACATCTGGACTATGGAAATCTTGCCTGTTTTGAGTTTTCGAGAAGCAGAGGGCGTTGTATGGTACCTTCCAGAATGATAAGATTAGAATATAGAACTTCGTATCAATCTGCAACGGTCAAACTCTCTTCGGTTATCATATTAGTAAGTTTAACAACAATGTTGTGACGACGGTTTGTAAAGTAATCTTCATTCATGTTTTCAATATTGATCAAATTCATAGCATCTTAATACAATAATTTTGAATATCAAATCATATCAGAAATATAGATCGCATTCTCTTGATCCTATTCCTAGTAAATATTTTGTTCTGAACATTCCAGTCTAATTTCTAACTTGCTGTCAGAGTACCTCAGAGAGTTTCAATTAATGAGCACTCTTCAGCTCTCGACAGTCTTTTATTTAGTCGACATGTACATTATCTCAGGCGACTATTAGACGTCTATTCAAAATTGTCTCGTGTTTGGCACGAATTGAATTGGATTATAGTGTCTTTGAACTGCGAAGTGTTACGGCCATAGTTTTCTGAAAAATCATTGATATCTAATAAACTCGCCTAAATATATTTATAAATTCGAGGAGCCTTCTCATCAATAAGTTCCTTAAAATAGGACAGTTACGTCGTCATTACTCTCTTACCTAATTAATTGTTATCTGACTAGTTAGCTGATCAAGAAGTGCTAATTAATACAATAAATGTCAACCTGCGGCACATTATTTGAATAAAATTATAATAAATCAGACATGCAACCATGATATCCAACCGAGCCTTTAAGAGATATGTGTCGTTCATTATTCGCGATAGCAACTCAATGAGGATCCGAAAGTATTTCCAAATATTACCATGCGAATAATGTCAATGTTACCGGAATCTACGTAATATTAGCGTACTTTCTGATTGTAATATTCACCTTTGGCATCACTACTTCTGATACTCCTTTGATGTCACGATTTTCATAGAATCTACATTATTATTATCTCTTAACCAAATTATAACAAAGCTATCATCAGTATACAAAAGCTAGCTTGGTTAAGATTCATAGCTAGAGATACTTTTGCTATCAACACACTGTTATCGGACGAAGATAATAGTGTATTTATAATGATAATAGGAATTTCGCACTGATTCTGTTGAGGTCACTATGAGAGAAATGAATTTCGAAGCAGTAGCGGATCTTACTGTTAGAAGAGCTAGAAGATGAGATATATGACGTTACCTTTTATTTAGTATTTACTGCTAAAAGTAGATGAGTTAATGAGTTCGCAGAATGTATAAACAACTGAATAGTTCTTCTTAGTCATCATTCCTATTTGTTAAGGTTGTTTTAAACTTGATTATCTCATGGTCTGTGTTAATTTAATTCGGACTGGTACTGCATACACTGAGCATACATTGCAATGTTGAATTAAGTTTTAAGAATTGTTTAAGTAACTATAGCAGCTTTTTTTATTTGATATGCAATAATAACGTGTCGAGGTAGGCGAAAAATCTGACATCTCCACCTACCAATGGTTTGCCCAGTTGTTCTTCATCCTCATCCCATACGATGAGAGATAACCAAAGACCAATACGCTACCGGATCAGTTGCACGCACACTGAGAAAAACGCTTAATTAACGTGACAAAAAATTGATTAACCACGTGACAGCTAACAAGTTCAATTAGTCTAAGTGAACCATTTCCTTAAACTTTTTATTTGAATCTATGAAGCTAGTTTAAATAAACCAAAATGTAATCGTATAATTAAGTTTATTAAACCATTAACTTAGATTGAGTACAACAATTTATTAAAAATTAATGAACTATTAAAATGAGTTTACTTGCTCCAAGTAAAACAATTTAATTATATCTATTAAATTTGTTTAATTAGTTTAGCTAAAGGTGTTTGCCCAATCTCAATGAATTATTTCATTTAGATTTAATAGATATTTGAATATTCGGAATTGAAAAGAAAAAATTGCATTTTATTGAATGATGAATCTTAGATGTCAAGAAATTCGGGAAACTCGATATTGTTAATTGATGTTTTCGAATCAAAATGAAAACTTCCGAATTTTGTAACGCTAACAAAATTCCGTATTTTTATTTTCATTAGTCGTGAACATATTATATATATTTATGTATTACCGATTCAAGTAAACGTCTCTTATTTGTGAATCTTCTGCATCCAGTAGTAAATATTAGCTTAATATGAAGCCGAACCTCTGTGACTCATGAAGTCAGATCACTTACAGTTTGATTTGCACCTCAAACACTATAATTATAAAATCACATAAACTACCGGACACCACCTTTCACTGGGAGACGATATCACCACGTGAACAACGTCATTAAGTAAATGCCCTGCATATATGATGAGTCTAGCATACCGATTAAAATCCTTCCGGATGAAAATAAACCAGAATCATAAGTCAATAGGTACATACATATTACCATATCACAAATGCGAAAACCTGTTCGATTTTTGAAAGATTAATACAGAGTTCCCTAAAATAACATGCCTATCTCTCGTAATGAATATAGAACACAAAAGAATGGTGCCACAATTTTCTATAAGAATTACGTTTTACGGGGCTCCCCTACGAAGATAAAAGAGCTACTGGAATTCGATTTTTCTCAAATAACTTTTGCACGACTGTAGAATCCAACGAAATTTTAGTAAGACAGGCACTGTAAAAATAAGATAAAAATATTGCACATCATCACTGTTTTGGAAAGTGTGAAAGTTATATTTTTGTCGAAGATTTCCGATGAGCCAAGCAATTTTTCAAAATTTTGTAGCGTTTTCCAGCTACTTAAGCTAGTAATATGTTTATTGTCTATATTGAAAGAACTTTGACTTTTAGAGTAGTATTTCCATTTTTAAATTCATTCATAAACAATAGTAATATTGAAATATTTTTCGAACTGAATTATCTACTAATTTTAAGGGACTGCAGTTGCGCATCATGTCCACCCGCATAGAGATTATAATAATCCATCGACGCCCATGCTGAAACCATAAGAGGAATATCACTATATAAGCGTTGGCTGGATAAAAAGTATTGGCCATATTTAAACGTGACCTACAAGAGCATCAACATGAAATTTGCTCTGGTGCTGTTTGTTGTCCTTGGTGAGTCAACAACACTTTCATTTGCATGTGTTGTAGTGCATGCTATTAGTATTTACGTTTGAGTGATTTGTTTTTGTTGTGTGATCTGTCAGACTCGACGTCTGCATGTGTGTGACACGAGGGATTCCATAATTGGACGTTTATGTGTACCAAGACAGCAATCCACATCAAACGAAAATTAAGCTTAGCATTACCAAAGTTTTCTTCAGTATCTGAAAAGCTTAAAAGAATTGTAAAGGAATTTGCAGACAGGCATATTCGCTGCATTCAATTCGATACAATAGATTATATATGTAGGTTCTGCCAGTAAGGCACCGAGATATATCCTGAATTCTTTTCAAATGCTTTAAACTACTATTGTCGTGAGTGTCAACTCTAAATCTGATAAACGATTTAATAAAAAATCTAAAATGGTTGTGCTAACGCCATATTTTTTCTGTTCTTTCGATATAGACGCTGATACTTAGTAATGAACAAAGTCTACTTCAATCAATTTTTGAGCTGTCCCTTGTCAAAGTTCTCGTCAGCATAAAAGCGAAAATGATCAATATCTGGGTCTAAGGGAGTGCCAGATGGACTGATAAAATACGTCAGTGGTAAATTTAGATTATATCTATTCAACATCCTAAGGATAGACCTATTGTACACAAGGTGGCTTTTACGCCATCGAGATGAAAAAACTTGGTAAACACTCATAATATTTTGTTGCCATGCCATAAACAGCATTATAAATAACATAATAACACAATAAAGTGAATTGAGAAATTATCAGTGTAGGTTTTCCTGGCAGATAATTGAGCTCCACAGGATGGAACAGGCGCAATGACAATAAACATTTAATTTGCAAATTAGCACATTTATGCGTGTTATTTATAGTCGTCTGAATCTAAATTACGAATGCTATTTTGATCCATATAACAATAGGATAGTGTACTCTGGTTCCCTTTGCACACATAGTACCTTATCTGGGAAACTTTCAGGTGAAACCAATAGATATAAATCTCCCAGCTAGTAACACAAACACGCTGGCTATTAGGTAGTATGCAAGTGAGCCAGGTTTCAGCGTCGCTGAACCGAAAACGATTTAACCGCCTTAGAAATTCTGTAGATTCATGGACAAAATCGGTAGGAGAAAAGAATCTGGACCGGCAAAGATCAGCGGTGGTTCAAGGTTCATGAAAAAAGTATATTTTTGTTTTGCGCGCGCACACGCAAATGGTTTTTTGAGGCTATCTTTTCCTGAAAAAATATTGACTTCTTTATTACAACTTATACAATGAGCTACTGGTCACTATTTAAACTTCTTTGCAACCACACTGGAAACTCCTTTTTCCATTCTTGATCATAACATTGTGAAGATTTTTCTAATTTACCATTGAACTTGAAGCTTCGTCACTCTGGCATTTGTATTTAATCTTTAATTTTTAATTAAAAACAGACCGTCTTTGGTTTCTTTATTGCTTGTCCGATGATACGGTGATGATGATGGTGATCTACCATCAGTGTGTATCTGTTGTATGCACAAAAAGCAACACAGGAAAAGCGGAGTAAGAGGCAAACCAAATCTACGTTCCTCGTGTGCCCGACTGTCTAAGTGGACGCATATGTATGATTGATATGGGACATAAAACTACTATAATTCAATTTTTTAGCTTTCTTTTTTGTTCCAGCTCTTTTTTTGGTAAAAAAGTCTACAAATATCCGAATTATTTGAAAAAATCGTGAAAAATGAGGACGTTTTCCGTAGGTTAGGCAACACTACCACGTTTAGTAAAATAATTAATACTACAGGAATGGGGAACAAAAGCATGAGAAATAATGATTTCCATTTTGTGGTTGAGTGAATAAATGATGTTTTCACTAGCATAAAGCATTATTCTACGAAAGATATTAATATAAATTTGGTTTTCTGTAATTTGAATGAAATTCTGTTTGTTCTAATATTTTGCAATGTATATGTAATATTTCGCGTTTTTAACGAATTTAATTGACTCTGTTGCAAACATTCATCATAAACTTGTCTATAAAGCCACAATGCACTGAAAGATCGAACCATTCAGTTTTTTTCAGTGTTCCTGTATACCCCATCGTTAGATAAATTATTCTACAAGAAGACTATACATTAAGACAAATTAGAGAAATAACAACAAAAGAATTGCTTTTCATTATTAATCAAGTCATGGTTTATCGTACGAGTTTTGCTTTTTATACCACTTCATAAAATTGGCCAAAATACTCGAAAACGGTTCAACGTTGTATAAAGATGTATTTGACTTAAGGTACCTACTCAAAATGCCCTCAAAAGCTACTAATATAGCTTTCGTTCATCCGACCAGGGACGGCCAACCATAGACAGCTGTTTCGTACTATTTGGCAACACATAACGAAAGCTCAGCAACTCTAGTCTATTCAGAGTATATACGGTTTATCGAAATAAGACAGCACAAAGTGCCATCTGTTACCACAACCGACCACTGGGAAAGTGAAAACATCAAGCAGACTGTGACCGCTAGATGCCGCCAATTCTGCTACTATAGTATCAATACTTCTGTATACGTATGTGGAAAATCAATGTAAATACATACAAAAAACAAGCTGTTTTCCTAACAAAACGTAGGCATTCTGCAACTAGACAGTTAAGAGTATTTGGTCGAAACCCACCAAGGATTAAAGGATTTGGGGTTGATAATCGACAGGAGATTAAACTGGAAGCCCAATGTTGTCTGTCCGAAACAAGACTATGGGTATTTTTAACCTGCTATACCCCCTTCTAACAGGAAATAGTCGATTATCAGCTCTTCGCTCCACCACGGTATGTTTCGAATCGTACGCTACATCCAGACCTCAATATTCCTCCTCTCAATGAGTTTATCAAGAACTTGCAACTAAGGACTATATAAGAGCAAACAGTCATCAGCTGATTTTCAAAAACACAAATGTCTCAGGCTAGCCATACAATGATTATCAATGCACGTACACCACCTACCACTTTTCATTAATAGCTGTATTTCTATGATATAGTAATCTGATTAGGTTAGGTTTGCGCTCCTTCAGCAAAGGCCCTTCCATTTGGAAAAACGAGCAGCCTGCTCAGTATGTATGGATGCCAGGTCAGGTCAGGTCAGATACGTTCAGTGGCTAGTAGACCATATCTACTATAGGACCAGAATCGGCGGCATCAAGCGGTCACAGCGGTGACCCGCACGGGTATTATGTAAAAAACCTACAAAACGTCAAAAAACCTAAAAGGTGTCAACTTGCAGACTAGGTAGTTTTTAGGGCGCAAACAGTCATTCCACGTTTGCTCACTAGGATCGTTGTGAACGTCCATCTATGGAGGAATCACTCAACTAAACTACACGCATTATTGGTTGCATAGTTTTATGAGGCTGATTGATCGGTGTCTGTACTTTTTATCTCTGAGAAGAAAGTTCCTTGAATAGCAAGATGGCATCTGGATGATTATGTTTATTGGTCTGCATGTGTATAAAATCAGTGATATTTGCTGTGTGAGAACATCATTACTAAATATGCTGAATATGACGGGTTATTTATATGTTGTGCTTTCCGACGAGAAACTATGTTCAAAGTTATAAATTCATCACTGCGCCCGCGTTGTGTGTAATTACTGTTAGCATGTATATGGCTTGTAATTCGACAGTGTACAGTGAATATAATTATTTCTTATCTCTCTCATTTTTTAAATTCAGCAAAGTTGTATATGTAATTTCCAGAATGGATAAGAAAAAGTGGATGCGCAACTAATATCTAGCTTTGAATCTCAATTAAGTGTATTTGAGACAAGAACCCAATGTAATTATCAACACATACAACTTACAGCTTAGACCTCCAGTAATGCCATCTCAGAAGCAGATTTTACATCACATCAGAGCCAAAGATTGATAACAAGCCTCATGACGTTTAGGCAACACGTACAACTAAGTGCTAAGTTAACATCTTGTAAAAAAACTTACATAATGTCAAAAAAACAGCATTATGTCAAAAAAAATCGGCATAATGTAATTTTTCAAGATACGTGATACCCGTGCCGGCTGACTATGCGAACTGGGATACAGTTCCAACAGTCACCTGGATGTTTCACATCGGTCGGTTCTGGTAATAGATGGCACTTTGTGCTGTCTTATTTCGATGCCCTCAGAAGGTTTCTATCGATCTTCTGAACCCCATGTAGACCAAGGAATGTTTCTGTTCTGGTTACCGTTCAGTACAAAATACATGTTCTATTTCAGCGTTGACGTTGGAGAGCATGTGCATGCCCTCCAAGGGCTCTACAAAAGCTGCTCTAAACAAAACCAAAAAGGACTGCGGCACCGACTGCGGGGAAGTTTATAAACCAGTATGTGCTGGAGACGGTTCTGGAAAAAATAATAAGAGCTTCGGCAACGAATGTGTGCTCAACAAGTACATCTGCGAGTCTGGCAACCGTAAGTGTTTCATGTGTTTCACCTGTGTTTTGATTTGCGACTTTTCCAGTTTGATTCAGAGACCTTATCGCCAGTGTTGCCAGTCTGTTTCTTATGGATTATGCCTATACAGGGTGATTAATGGCGATATTTCTAGAGAAGAAAGTACGTCCAAGAATATAAAACCTTCTATAAACGTATAGGTCTTTATTATTATGGATATAAAGGGTGATGAACATGTCTACTCCGCTGATAAGGCTCACTAAGGGCCATACATAAATATTCTTCGAATAATGCGGTGGCAGAATAGGATTAGTAGACATATATTATTTCACTCACTTGAGTAAAATTTCAGAGTATAATAATAAATGTGAGTTTTTTTCAATATGAATCATATTTCAAACAGTCAAACCAATTTTTGACCAAAAGAATGTTCTGACAAAAGTTTCTTAAGAGAGACAATTTATATAAAATCAAATATCTTGAGTAGAAATATCGAAGTTTTTTTTATACGGATGTAGTTAGAGCGGACATTTTTTTCTTGTATGTTATATGTAATGTTAAGTCGTTGCATCATACAGCCAACTCTAGAAATATATTTTTTCCATTATTTCGATATTGTAACTTCAACATATTGTATATCGCTAAGGAGACAGGATCCATGCTTATATGAACCTTTCGTATTATTTATAACCTACTTTCTACTCTATAAATATTGCCATTGTTTTCTAAATCGCCCTGTACTCATCATTTTCAGTTCACTATTCTAGTATACAGCACTGTTGGGGGATCAATGAATCTTATGGGAAATGGATTTCAACAATGTTTTTTTAAATTGGTGTTGGTAGATCTCAACATGTAGACAAAGATGTCAATGGGTCCAAACTTTATATAGGGCCTCTAAAGTTGGATAGCGTATCGTGAGTTCGGCGAATGATGATATTGAAAATATGTAAGTGTTTGATATTTGTTTACGTTCTTATCACATGCGCACATGCCTAACTGGCCGGTTCATCAACATTGCAGTACTATCACATTTACAGGGTGACCCAAACTTGCACAGATGAAGTATTGCTCCGAGACACAGACAAGTTTTGATAGATAGAATGAAAAGTTTGCTTGTTTAAACTGATTACCCTAAATTCGTCAAATAAACACACTATTCTTAGTATCTAAAAACTAGAGGAATTTCAAAATATGAAAATACAGTCTTATTTGACAGTTTCAGAGAACAATGAATGAAATTGTGTAAACTTTTGAGAACTGTGTACAATTATTAATTGACAGAAACAATCCAAGGAATGGGTGAGGTAGGTATAGCCATGAAGAGTTCGTCTTACAGAAAATTAAAATTCTCTGTCTGTTAGCGAAGTCGAGAAACTGGTTGCAATACTTTCATTTTGAAGTATATAACAGAATAATAGTAACTTTATTATCCAGGACATTAGTGGAACAACTCATAATATTTTTGAAATGGAGGCGAAGGTGCAGAATAATCCTCATCAGTGAATTGGTCAGTAAGGGTGATGTTGATCAAACACCTATTAAATGTTGTGCAACGAACCAAAAATATGCTGTCTAACTCAGAAACCCTGTATTTCAGAAACTGCTTGTGGAAAAAGTTTTGGTCCATGGACAGCTTTGTTCTACGTGTTGAGATTTGCAACACACTGAATTTTAAAAAAAATGGCCGAAAAAAATGAGCTAAGGCAAACGCTAATTTTATCTGGATGGCTAAAAAATTCAAACTTCTTGTTTGGGTAACAGATTTTACCTTATAATAAAGTAAACTAAAAGGATGTAATGTGACTTTTCTCAACCAAGCAGCCGTTTTCGTTTTGTTAAATGGGTACATAATCACCATTACAAAACAGTGTTTTCACATAAGTTTCAAAACATTGAGATATTTTAGAGAAATGTTTGAGCTTCAATTGAGTGCTCACTGACATCAAATGTGTAAGTCTTTATATTTTCCGGGTATACTTTTTAACAGGAGGAACCTTTTTAGAGAGAATTCACTAGATTTTTGTCTAGACTTTTGGAAATAGTTTTCCAACGGGGTCGCTATTTTTGCATTGTCCAAGTGCGGAATTAGGGTTTTCCAGGTATCCCAATGTCTGTTTATAAACTTATGATTTAACCTGGTAGATTATATTCAGTTATTAGAAGTGATTAAATATTATTTGTTGCAGAACTAAAAATTGTCAGCCAAGGGGAATGTCCAGGAGGTGGTGGCGTTCGCCTACAGTGAGCAGTTGAATTGATACTCACATACTTTATTCGGTCAGGTTAAAATACGTGATTGATCTGACTGACCCTTTATTAATGATGTTTATAAATAAACTATGTAATGAACCGTTGTTACATACAGGATGAGAAATTAAAATAGTTTCTAACAAAACAGTTCATCTTGTTTTGCTTATGATTAGGTAGATCAGGGCTGTCCAACTTAATGTGGCCCAAGGGCCACTTAAAAAAAAATGCAGTTTGGAGGGCCGCATTATAAAATCTTTCTATACAACATTATTACTGAGTTTTAATAGGTATATACTATACTATATGGTATACATATATGTATACATGACCCGTGAAGCGGGCCGCAAGAAAGGAGTTGAACAGCCCTGAGGTAGATGATTCTTATTCAGTGGGAGCTGAAAGTCTCCTTTTGTGTTTCCAATAAGCGTCAAGGATCGCTCCTACGGAATATTATATTCGACTGATAAACTATTAGAATAAGACGTATACGTCATACGAAATGAATAAAGTTCAGAAAAACACTCGCACAACTTACTTCTTCTCATCTTCGCGAAAAATCTTCGATGTATTCGAAGAAAACCTCGAGTTTTCTGTAGACAAATTGAACATCGCTTCTAGTAATACAGCTAAAGACAGAAAATATTTTAGCATTCCAGTACCGTATGATCCCGCGAATTCGTCCCGCATCTTTTCACTGTTGTTTAGAATAATAAGGGTGTTTTCGATTTGTCCCACCAAATCTATATTGAAAACAACGTGGACTTATCCGCCTTGAAAATATTTTCCTTTATCTTTTCCGACAATATTAAGCTTGTCATTTTCCAAGATATCACTAAAACTCCTAGCCCGGGTGAAATCCCAATCATTTTAGACAAGTACCATTGTGGTAAGAAAAATATCCATAGAGATATTAATGAAACTATAAGACGTATTCGAGAACTAGACAACAGCATTACATTTCGAAATATAAAATTTGTCAAACACCATTTGACGCAAATATCTCAGTGCTCCTTTAGTTGTTACTTACACTCCTAATGCCCCATTTGAACGCATCAACATTTTAGAACTTCCACCAAAATGCTTCGCTCTCACAATACAAGACAAGCTCACAAACATGTTCCCAAGCTAGAGACAAATCTGCGAAGCATGTCGTAAATAATATTCTCTTATATTTTGAACATTACGGCACATCTCTCCGAATATACTTTGGTTACGGGAAAGAATTTGATAATGTCCTCATGAAACATCGTCGTAAACTCTTCTGTAATGAATTAAAATTTCCCTGCGTTACTCATCCGCAATCTGAAAATCCGGTAGAACTCCCATTTAACACTCTACCTTATGCTGTTCAGTGTATAATAGCGATAGAAACAATAATCTTTTGTTAACTTTACGGAGACTCATAACTCAACCTATAACGCACAAGCATCTGTATGATCTGTTGCTATACTATAAAGCTTACAGAACAGCTTAGGGCATAGGAGGTATCTATAAATTTTTACATTTTCTACATTGGTTGTTTAGTTGCTATAGGATCCTTAACAACGTGGAAATACTTCTTGAGCAGCTCTATCAGTTTGATACAAAGATTCTTTGTCTATTAGTCTTCGGTGCCCTTTGCTTCTTATAAGGCTAATTTTAATTGTGCTGGATTTCGGATGATGTTTCCTTTGTTGTTAATTGTATGCAGGTTCTCATAAGATCTCTCAAATAAGTATCTGTCCATTTGATTATACCAAACGAATATACAAGGACATATATAAGTGGGGTGTTTGCCTTGCCGAATCAAATTACATATGTTAAAGTTTCGCTTTTATCGCGATGTTTCTATGAAACATTCCTTATACGTGCCTATTCATCATATATAAGTCCCAGAATGTTCAGATTGGTCGAACAAATATTTTTCCATTTGAAAGACCCATGCTTGCTATTATTTATAAAATATGACACCATCCAAATCACTTCATATTGTGATACGTGTCTGTTGGAGACAATTCATAATTGACACAATCAATGTGTCCATTATGACGACCCGACGAGGGTGTAATTCATTAAGTTCACTAGCACTCGGCGACTGAAGCGAAGCATCGTATGGAGTATACTCCGACACAGCTGCTTGAATATCATATAAACAGATAAACGAATTCAAATAGGTAAGGTGTCATGAGTACATGGTAGTGTTTGTATGGAAATCTACGCACTTTTATGTTTTGCAGAAAAATTGAATTTGTTCCGAAGTCGACAACCACTGTAAATTTGGCAGATTAAGCATAATCGCCTTGTAGTGAGCAATTGCACCTTTCCAGACTCTTAACTAGGATATAATGTATCAAAGCAAATCACGTTTGCCCCTTCTTCCTAGTTCGATATACTTGAAATAAACTGAATGTCAACATAGGGTGGTAGCGGGGATGTCTCGCATAGCAGTTTGCTTATCTACTACCAATTCAGATTTGATATCCAACTGTCACTAAGCGCTGCAACTTTGTACGTTTCGTGAATGTCCAGTAACACGATGACTAATTCTTATCAATCATAAACACTTCAAACAATAGATGATATTTAGCAATCGGAAATTAATAAAACTACTTTTAACAGTAAATATATTAGAAAAAATAATGACAGAAACATATAAACACCTATTCGATTCCTTCCCTTTCCTGCCACATTTCTTTCATTTTTCTTTTCTTATCATTTTTTTGCTCCTTGCTGATCCTTTTTCGCTCTTCTAATGCTTTCATTTGTGCCTCTATGCTGTGCTCCCCGTTGATCAAATTATCTAACTTTTTAACAAGGATAGCCCTAGCTCGTTTCCGGTTTTGCTCCAAGAATCTTGTTTCTTGATTCTTCACAACAATACCTGACAAAAACAACAGGTTAGCTCTGTCGATCGTCTTTCTAATATTGAATAAACCTTGGTGGAGAAGTATGTCATTATTGGCTGAGCACTTTTATAAGGAAAACTAAATTTGTCTGACGGCTTGAGTTCAATGTGTACGAGAGAGAAGTGCGAAAAATGCCTAGCAACAGTGACGCAGAAAGTTGTGCAAAAAGCTGTGTTGTTGCAACAGAAATGTTCGCACAGGCTTCTACAATAGGTTAGGTTACTGCCAAACTCAAGGTGGAGGTGATTTAATAATCAAATTCAAGCGGATAACCAAATGGAAATGGTATTTACCATTTTGGGCTGGTATTTACCAATCCGTTCAAGCGAGTATAGTTATCAGTTTGGTTATAAGATCCGTGACGTCACGAATCAGCTGTTATATGTCATAGTTATCACCGCAAAATTGTGGTATTTACCCAACTCAAGAGTAGTTTTATATTTCTGGTTATTATTTGAAATGTGACAAGTTAGAATTTTGCCGGGAATTGGATATTCTTATTGTACTTCAGCTTCATTTTTGAGAGAAATGATACAGGCTGACTTCAGTTTTACCATAAAGTGGAGCACCTTATTAGTTATACTCATTACGGTTGTTGGGGACACTTTAAATGTAGTTCCTATGCTTAACAAAGTATCCTGTGTAGCCATATACCACAAGAATATTAAAATATGGCCATATAAACTCACTAGATGATATCCACCTGTATACGGTTTTGCTAATTTCTTTTTTCATCATTTCTGCTGAATCAATAAATGTTTTCTTTGACATGCGGAAAAATTTAGAGAATTGAAAGTTATCATAGCTACAAAGCCATGGTTGCATCATTAAAAAAAAATCTGAAAAAACATTTCTCCCATGAGTATTATGAAAGGTGTCTTATTTAAACTTTCCATATACAGTTGTAGACGAAAAAGCACCGATTATTAAGTGATAATAAAAATAATCAGAGATTATATACGCGCTTTTCTAAAATAAAAAACTTGCAACAAAACCGCGATTAAAACCAACGCGTTCAAGCGATTCGTGTAACTGACGTCATCAACCCGTGTGTCATCTTGAACCATATTATAACCGCGGCACATAACACAGAAATTTTGGTTATTCGCTTGGATTTGATTAATATTTTGTTTTCATTGACTTATGTCATCAAGCGGCAATAGAGAGTTTTTAGTATTCTTTTTTTGCTATTTCGTTATGATCCTCCTTATTTCCACTTTGCACAGTAGCAGACAAACCTTCATTATCCATTATTACAATATGAAAGCTGTGTTAGCTAAGGAGAATAGGAAGGGCTTATTTTGTAAGGCTATATTTACCTTATTCAGTGGTTTTAGATTACAGATATAAATAAATGGAAGAAATAAGCAGTGTTGTGAATGAATTGAATTGTCCTGATTTTTCTATACATGCAATGTGGCAAGGTAACCTTTTATTGTGATTGTGCTGGTTTTGTGTTCACTTGTTCTGTGCTAATAGGACTCTAAACATTCATTTCTTGTCCGGTTTGGACACAAATAGTGTATCGCTATTGTGTAATTTTCCATGTAGGACCCCAGAAAGTCAAATAGTTATGGGATGATATACCTACATGTAAATTCAATTTTATGTAATATTTCAAAATTCCCCATATTGAGTAGTGATGCACAGTTCTGATCATTCAACACCAGGTAGACCTAGCCTGAATTAGGTCTGAATATTACTCAGGTAATTACTATAACAAGTTGAAAATTTAAGTGAAATGTACAACTACTTCAAGAAGTCATGAAATGTATTTATTAATTTTTATGAGAGGTTCTGCACATGCTTGACCTGTATTTGAATTACATTATACTAATGATGGACAATTAGCCAGAAACATGTAGCTATATTATTTTTACAGTTGAAATTGCAGCTATGCAGGAATGTACTATTACAATTTTCTAATAAACATCTTCCTACATGAACTCTGTATATTTTGTCAAAATTCCCAGTCACTAAAAGTATCTAGATATGTGAACAACAGCCTTAAATGTGGTCCAGAGTTTTACCAGTTTCACACCTGATTCATTATTGCAAACATACAGACTAACAGAAAGTTGGCACTTTCTGATCAGCTGTTTACTTCGGTAGACATCATAACATAATGAATACCCCTGAAATACATCATTCAGGGTGTTCCTTAATGGCATGCTACCATTTAAGGAGGTGATTCCTAAACCATTTTAAGGGAAAAAATCATATGAACATATGTCCTAAATGTCATTACTTTTGAGACACATGGTGGTAACGGATTCAGAACAATATCTATTTTATAATAACTGTGATTCTATTTTAGATATCTTTATGAAATTTGGTGCATATCTTTTATGCATGAAGATGCGTTTTATGATGTACAATTTTATTATTTCTATCAGTGGCATCTGTACAGGTCTTTCATTGAATATTTTTTGAAAAAAGGATTTCCCTCTAAATAAAAACCATTTTCTATATCATCAGTAATTTTTGGTATTTGACCATATGGATCATCCTCCACATAAACAATAAACTCTCGACCATCCACTAATTCTGAGTAAAATCCAAAAATATGACCTGTTTTTATGATCAATCGACGAGTGTTGCTCTTGAATTTAGGGCTGTGTTGCATGAACCATGGACAAGTACATCAATTCCTTGCTATTGTTACAAAAATTAGAGTTCACCAGTAATGGGTACCTGAGGGTAAATGTTTCAGAACGACACAGCTAGAAGTCTTGTTGATTTTTTGTCCTCCTGGACCTGAGCCCCGAACGTAGGTCTCTTCCAAATCTTTTTCTAATAATGTTGGGATTCTGGAGTAGTCTATAGTATGCTTGTACCTGCATATGAACCTTGTAGTGCCTATGTTTACTAGACGACTCAGTTGCATGTTTAATGTGCTCACAAATTGCAGCAAATTAGCAAGCCGCAAAATATAAATAATCAGATAAATACAAATTAAAATAATTTTATATATATTATTGTGATGTCAGCCTAACGAGCCTAACCTAACCTCACAATTTCCCAATATTGACAGATTGACACCACATTGACACTGCCGGTAGTAGAGATTAGAGATGGTGTGTTCGAAGCTGCAATCGCTTCGCTAGCCAGGATATACGATATCAACCTTTGAAACCGAATTTCTGTCAATGTCATATCGGTAATTCAATAATTATTATTATTATATTATTCGTTATGCAATGTGGAACAAATATTAACACTTCGACCTGTGGCCTGTGGCAGAGTCGCTTACTGGCTATGTTTACACTGTAGGCCACAAAACATATACAGGGTGACTTTGATGTTGAGTCATTAATTTTCAGATAATGATTGTAGAAGGAAGATAAACCAAAATATGTGTGTAAAAATAAAAAAAAAATTTACCTTGTTTTATAAAGTATCCTCCCGACAAGTATTTCAGTGCGGACCTGTATTTGATCGTGAGGTCTTGGAGCACCGGCATGCCGTCCATATATGAGGTCTTAAGTCACCTGATTCACGAACCCGTTGTACTACATTAACAAAGGCACTCGATTGGGAAACCGATCCGCATAAACATGTGCCATTTTTTATTTCGTTTGAGCCACGCAACAGACACCACTATTCACTACCGACTGACACTGACTGTATACAACTGAATGAAATAATTGTAAAAACATCGTTCCAAATTCTTTCGCTTTTTTGTTTCCGATGCGATGAACCGATAAGGCGGATTATATCCGTTGTCGCCAAACACGAGCACATAATATTATTATTGAGACAGGGCGGTACTCAAACTTCCAAAGGGCTATAACTTTGTTACTTTAATTTTACCAGAAAAATGGTAAAGGAAAAAAACATTTCTTTTGATCAGATCTACTCACTGTTAAAATAAATGACTCAACTTCGAAGTCACCCTGTATAGGCCGTAGGTAGCCAAGCGCTTAAATCATAAATGGCGGAATGGCTCATTAGTCACGCGGGTCCCACACGATGCTTCCAGCGTTTTATACAACGTTTCACATCCCGCAACTGGGGAGTGTGTCTCCTACACGATGGGATGAACTTTTTAGTCTCGGACGTTCTCCGCATGGTGGTGCCAACGTCTATTATCGGTGTCAGTGTTGCGCTTGGCTCTTTACAACCGAAGGAAAAATTATACAAAATAAACGATGAAACAATTTTTTGTAGCGCCGAAAAATAATTTAAGATCTGTCCTCAGCGATCAAGTCCTAAGTCAGTCAGAAGCCTCAAAAATGTCGGCAAACGAAGTTCGACCGTTTTTTGTTTGTTTTTCGACGATAGCTCCACCGCCACTGTACTGATTTTCAAAAACTGCAGAGTCTCTTCATTTTCATAGTAGTAGCCTAGGATCAAAATTCCATCAAAATACTGATAGAACTTCCAGAGTTATCATTTATTTAATCTTTTTTGTTAGTTATGAAATGCAAGTCAATATATTTCTCAACTAATCTTGCATTGCAACAGGACATTATAATGAAACAACTCTAAGCACTTGATAAAATGTATAATTTAGTAAGATACATATCCTTAGGCCAGCCATAACTCACCTGCGAAACGTACAAAACATTAGCGATACGGAAACAGTGTTCGGGCATACGAATATACATTATTATGAACAGGTAGGCATTCAAATCAAAATACTTCCCACATACCACTACTTCACCACAATCACAGCAAACAAATAAATGTTTTTCGTCGCTACTGGTTCTAACCTACCTAAAACCCTCAAATACATGACATCTCGTGTGGGACCGACACGAACCATGCCAACGTTGTAACGTCCTTTGGCGCGGGTCAAATTTGTAGTAAACGTTGGACTCATGCAATCTGCCAGCACTCTCCCACACGATGTGGCGAATGGCCATGTGTTCAGCGTTGTAAGGCATTCGCCACATCGTGTGGGAGCGGTTACACAATTGGTCACGGTGTAAGCTAGCATAGAACAGCAAAACAGGAAAATATCTAAATCATATGTATCTCAATCTCCTAGTAATAAAAATTCGATAAAACTAAGTCAAGCGGGTCAAGCCTAAATCACCACAGTAGCTTGGTTGAAACATCTCCCTCTCCCAATGAAACATTAATATATTCAAAATCTCTTCAGATTGCCCTATCGAAAATTGAGAACTCGATAGTTAATCTCTCTTTTAATTTTCGTTCATCTCTATATCTGTCTTCTCAACATGACGATCTGTGGCATGACAGAAAATTTTTGATTCATTAGAATCCGTGTTAGAATCTACACATCGGTATATATTTTTGTGATTGTGGAAATCCGCTCTCTGCACCCTTATATGCAGCATGTTCATACTAGTGCCTTTCTGCATTTTAAACGGATTGCATTGAGTAAACAAATTAGAACTCTTCAGGTAAATACATAAATAACGTTAGTAAAATAAACTTTACGCTTTTTAAATTTATTTTCAGCTTGTCTCCAATTTTTCTATCCAGGCGCATTACGGAAAAACTATGTCTTTCAACTATCCAAAAGCAAGAAGGGATGAAACAGTAGTTGATGACTATTTTGGAGTAAATGTGGCAGATCCTTACAGATGGCTTGAAGACCCAGATTCTGAAGAAACAAAGTCTTTTGTAGATGCGCAGAATGAAATTACAAAACCATATTTAGATGGATGTATTTACAAAGATAAGATAAAAGATAAGGTCACTGAGCTGTGGAACTATCCCAAATATTCTGTACCTTTTCGCCATGGAAATAAGTATTACCAATATCGAAACACTGGCCTGCAAAACCAAAGTTTAATTTTTGTTCAAAAAGACCTTGATGATGAAGCAGAGGTCTTTTTAGATCCTAATAAATTTTCTGGTGATGGCACAGTAGCATTATCAAAAACAGCTTTCACTGAAGATGGAAACACTTTTGCATATGGCCTCAGTAATAGTGGTTCTGACTGGTTGGAGATAAAATTCAAGGATGTAAAGACTGGTGATGATTATAATGAGACTTTGAAGAGAGTCAAGTATTCACCAATGACGTGGATGCATGATAACATTGGTTTTTTTTATGGGGCCTACTTGGATCAAACTGGTAAAGCTGATGGCTCAGAGACCACAAGTAGTGATAATCAAAAGTTATATTATCATACATTAGGAACTGATCAGTCACAAGATATTGTTGTTGTTGAGTTTGAGGATTCACAATTAAGAATAGGTGCTACTGTTAGCCATTGTGGTGAATATTTAGTAATCACTCCTACAAAAGGGTGTAAAAATAACCTTGTTTATTTTGCCAAGTTTTCTGCAGATAATAAAATCATCAAGAAATTGGAGCTAACCCCAGTTGTTACAGAATTTGTAGCTGATTATGAATATGTGCATAATATAGGTTCAAAATTCTTCTTTAGAACAAATAAGGATGCAGCAAATTACAAAATAATTGCCATTGATTTCAATGACATAAATGGAACACCCTGGACAGACTTGTTGCCAGAACATTCAAAGGATGTTTTGGATTGGGCACATGTCATCAATACTAATATGCTTGTTGCATGTCATCTTGTGGATGTGAAAAATACTTTGGTTATTCATGATTTGGAAACTGGGAAAAAATTGCATGATTTCAAGGTAGATCTTGGAACAATTTCAGCTATTTCTGGCAAGTATTACCATCAGCAAATGTTTTATAGTTTCTCTTCCTTTCTTACACCAAATATCATCCACAAAGTTGATTTCAAAGAAGGAAGGATAATTGACACAGTATTTTATAAAACAAAAGTTGGAGATTTTGATCCTTCATTATTTGAAATTAAACAAGTGTTTTACAAGAGCAAGGATGATATTGAAATACCTATGTTCATCATTCACAAGAAGAACTTGCAGAAAGATGGGCAAAAACCATGCTTATTGTATGGGTATGGTGGCTTCAATATCAGCTTGACACCTGGTTTCAGTACTTCTCGATTAGTTTTTATTAGAAATTTTGATGGAATATTTGCCACTGCAAACATTAGAGGGGGTGGAGAGTATGGAGACAGATGGCATAATGGAGGAAGATTTGAGAAGAAACAAAATTGTTTTGATGATTTCCAATGGGCAGCAAAATATCTAGTAAAGGAAAATTATACATCAGTAGACAAACTGTCAATTATGGGTGGTTCAAATGGAGGTTTATTAGTTGCTGCTTGCATAAATCAAGCCCCAGAGCTGTTTGGAGCTGCAATTTGTCAAGTGGGTGTCTTGGACATGTTACGTTATCATAAATTCACAATTGGCTATGCTTGGACTACTGATTATGGATGTTCTGATGTAAAAGACCAGTTTGAATATTTGTATAAATACTCACCCTTGCATAATATCAAAGAGCCTAGAGAAGGTCAGTACCCAGCAACTTTATTGCTTACTGCAGATCATGATGATCGTGTTGTGCCATTGCATTCTTTCAAATTCATAGCCGAATTGCAGAATAAAATAGGCAGTCTTTCACAACAGAAAAATCCACTGATGATACGAGTCGAAACAAAAGCTGGTCATGGAGGTGGAAAGCCAACATCTAAACTAATTGATGAAGTCACTGACTACTTCTGTTTTATTTCAAGAGCACTAGGGCTAAAGTTTTTGGATTGATGCATGTTTTATTATCAGATTGATAGAACCCTAATTTTGTAATATTGGTGTCATTTGTGATGGAACCTATTTTCAACTCAAACATGGATTAACAAATCTGTATATACAAAAAAAAAATAAAGCAGAGTTTTAGAACTTACCTTTCAAGCTGCTTGTACATTTGGATCTGGTTGTGGCATTTTTTCTTTGAAAAAGTGTTTATTAGACCCCACTGCTTTTATTTGAGGAAACATGCTGACAAAGTCAGTTTTAAGATCAATAATCTATTTGATAGTTGCCATAACTAGCATGATTTAGGCATATGAAAGATAAGGGTTTAATAGCTACAAATCGTTTTAAATTTAAAAAAAAAACTTCTGGGAAAAATTATAACGTTTTATGGAAAGCATTTTGCTGGTCCAGAATAACAGTATCTTTTAGAACAAAGATATATTTCAAAAACAGTTAACCTATCATGGGACTGTAAACGTTTTTATATAGAGCATATTATGTGGAATCAAAAAGTGTAAAGCATTTGCCTCTCCATTAAATTATGATGGAAAAGAGTATGTAGAGTTACTTGATATTTTTTCTTTCTCATTTCATCAACTCTTTATGGAAGCCATAAAGGCACCCAATTTCAACTTGGATCGCTTAGATAAGTAAATATATTATTTTCATCAGCAACATATTATGTCTTCATTATTGTGAGTGAGCAGATAGTATCTCTCTCCAGAAATGTCGTAATTGGCTTGCTCATGAATTCGCAACTCAACTCTCCCCCATGTTAATTTAACTTCATCTGTCGATATAACAGATTAGTACCATCATTTGTAAAGGTGCGATTCCGTACCGCGACAGGGACAACGACTGCGATCAAGGCTGAGATCGCTATCCGAGACTAGTAATATAGCATAGATACAAAAAATCTGCCAATCACAGTGAAATACTAAAATACATTTTTACATTTACATTTTTAGAAATGTATGAAAAAGTAATAGGAGCACAACGCAGTTACCTTTTACTACTGTAAATATTTTTTTTTTAATCTGTATTTTAATATTTCACAGTGAAACTGTGACTGCCACAGGTTTTCTGAATGAGTGCTATCTCAACAGTCTCGCGAATGGGTTTCAGGCTTGGTCGCTGTCTCCTATGCAGGGAATGGCACCTGATAGTTTAAAATTGTCATGCTTATATTTTCACCATTATGTTTTGTTACCAAACACCTCAATAATAATAATAATTTATATTTGTCAATCTTTTATTTCCTAGTGAAGGACGTGTAGGTATGGATAGTTTTGAGAATATAGAAAGCCCAAATTATATATGTATTGTTTGATAATACAAAAGTAATAATTATTCAAGGGTTCAGTTAGAATCGTGCCCCTGGTCAGCTTGTATTGCAGAGTTGAGTCTATGGCTAACAGTTTGTGATGCATGCATGGACCTTAGAAGTGAGCTGCTTATGACTGAAAATTATGCCAAAAGCCTAACATATAACATAGAAGCCACTTTATTAAACATATGTATACATAGGTACATTGCGTTTCAAAAAGGCCTCCCCACCAGTGTTGTGCGAAATTTTTTCGAAAGATTTCAATAGACATCAAACCAAAAGGGCATCAAATGCTGCTATTTGAAGAGCTCGGGGTTACACCAAATCGCAAATATTATTTAAGAATTTGATAAATGATAGATTTAGCATAAAAATCGGTAGTCCGGTAGAATACGACTAAAATCGGTGGATCTACCGAAAAATCGGAAGACCTGGTAACACTGCACCGAGGGGTAAACCGGTTGACCAACCCGGACTCCCGGACAGCTAAATTCACGTGAGACAGTCAAAATATAGCCTTATGCTGTAAAATGCAAGCGACGTGTAAAATTGCCAATTCGAAAAATATACACGCTTTTCTTTAGTGTCGTTCCTCATTTTCTTTTTAAACGGGTTAAGACTCTTTCAAACGATCCGGAGCGCGGCACACGCCTGTGATGAAGCGTTTTCAAACGAGGTCGGTGTCGTTCGGCGCTCGGCGCTCCCGTATTTTAACTGTTCAGTTGAGGCTAGATATTGAAATGAGCACAGCGCGAAAGAAGAAAGTGCTAGCCACGTACTTGCTATGGAGACGGCGAATAAGAAGACTCCCATAGCCCAACGCCACATCGGGCGTGCGACGCAAACAGGATCGTGTGACGGGGGCCTTAGCAAGTTGAAATTTATTGAAATAATGCATACTATATTTTAGCGTAAAAGTTGCATTTGGACGTTCCGAGATGTTGGGCGATAATTATATTGGAAAGATTTCTTTTAATGGAACCAGTGGTTCGTTTTTATACATTTTATAGTTTCTGGCTTCTAACCCTGTGATACATATTTACTCTGACACGTTATATAAGCAAAATAAATTTCAAATGAAAATCTCAGATCTTTGTTTTTATTGCATTTAAAAAAAATCTATTCTACAGATCAAAGAGGTCCTACGGTTCTTGTCTGATGCTTATTTTGTAGAGTAGATGTTGCAGTTTAACATGATAATGAATATACATATTTCCCTTTCCATCCTTGTTTTCCTTCAGGTTGCACCTATATCCAGATGTATGGGCATTCGTTTTCACTTCTGTGTCTTTTTTTGGGTGCACATCCATTTGGGCCTGATGAAATCAATAAGCAGAAACGTACGTCGCTCGGGTTACCAATCCTATTTCTGTTCCTTTATTGCGGATATGCCCTTGATTGTCCTTTGTTTGGTTTATGCAAAACTACTTGTCTTTGTATTTGATCATATTTTTCGCGAGTATAAAATCGAAGCGGAACGTTTTTTCTTGGCACTAACCCTTTTTTTACTTTCACACGTTTTTAGCAAATAATTTGTCTACTCACAATTTCCCCCGGAACTTCATTCGATTTTTACCAGGTTGCCTAGATTACAAGGGAACAACAATAGTCAGAGTGCGACTTAATCAAAATTACTTACCTCATAGGCCCTTACCTATGCTTGTGTTTTCCCAAATAAAATGTGAAGCATCAAAATTAAAAACAAAATGCTAAAATTATGTATTTATATTATATAAAATAAATTCACCAAAAATGATAAGCATAAAAAGGCTTACTAAGAATAAGTTATAAAAAATATAAATATGTAGTATAGAAAAAACACAAAAGCATGGGGATATTTGTTGGCACCTTTGCTTCAATTATTTTTGGGTAAACAATCAGAAAATTATTTTTTGTTAATGTCTAACAGCAATAGTAAGTCGATTTTGCATTAAATGGACCAATCCTAACCGCCCAGTCTCCACCTTAAACTGAATAATTATGCTTCTTCAAATTTACATTCGCATAATAAAACACTTCACCAATTTTCTTAGTGCCAATTCATTCTCATTATCACGTTTTGACTTAGGGGCGGAGAGAAAAGTCCAAAAACCCCCAGAATGGTGTAGCTCAATGGTGAATGGAAAAAAGTCAATCTTTGCTTATGCTTGGACCCACAACATTTGAATTGAATAGTTACATATATCAGTTGTCTACTTTTGAAGAAGTAGTTTCATAGATGGAAAATACCAGTATTTTTCAATATGGGAGGACAACTAGTATTTCTATCATTTAGCTGTTGGCACATGCTGTCATAAACGTATTTATGGATTAAGCTCATCACCTGAGATTTTTAATCTTGCCTTCAAGGAAAATTTTCAGGGCCCTCCAGTAGTTGAAGCTTATATTGATGACATTACAGTGTTTGATGACAATGAAGCGAGAAACATGTAACGTAAAAAGAGTAATTTTGTTCTTAGTGAAGTGAGTTTGGAAAAAGGAATGTAGTCTATGTTAAAGACGAGGTACACGATATGACAAAGGGTAAGGTGTAGCACAAAAGCCTTGTTCATACAGTGTTCAGTTAGGGAAGTTAAATGTGGTAATTTTGAGCAATGTTTACTGCTTTTCACATTCTCAAAAGCAAGGGCTAATAAAACATTTCTCCCTTTTTTAGATATGTAAGAATAATGGAAAAAACTTCTTTTAAAATTCAGAAATAGATGCAATACGAGTCTAAAAAGGTAGTGTACATATCGTACTGATAATAGGTGTGATTATAGTTTTGTTTCTCATAAAGAAATTACTGCTTACAGTTGGTTAGGACTACTTTCATCAGATGGTCATCAGAGCATTATCTTTACCGTACTAATAATCTGTGCTGCGAACGCCGCCTCAAGAAATTTGTGAGGTGCTTGATTGAGCAAATATAAGAAAGAAAACTATAAATCTTGGAAAAAATGTGTTATCAAGGGATGCCATATTCAGGGTTGAGGTGGGAGAATGCGATGTTCAAATTACCAATTGTCAATCAATATTATTTTTAAGAAACATTGACTAAATAATTATATCATTTTTGACCCATTAGTTTGATGCAAAAACTCAAATTGACCCGCGTTCTCCACCTATTTTCCGTGTGTCACTGTGTTCCACTTTTTTTTGAGAGTATGGCACCAGGTGATTAAAGAACTTTTCCACTTCCAGTAGGTTGGTCTGTTGCACTTACAATGCCAGTAGGTTTTTCAGGATCAACACTTTCCTCTTGTATATTATTCTTTGATAGAGTAACTTGTGTACTACATTCTCCAAGTGATGTGATATCTGTTAAAGGTACTTTTTCATTTGCCAAAGCCTCTGTTGGATCATTAACAGAATTGTCATTTACCATTTCTTCTGAAACGATTTTAGGTTTAACAAATTTTGAGTTGTTATCCAGTGACTTCACTGATTTTATTTTCCCAGTTACTTTAGTTTTTACATTTTTTCTTTCTTTACATGTGTTTTTGAATGAATCATCTCCTAACAAATTTGTTGCCTCAGGGTAATCTTCGATAACAATTTGTCTTATATTTTCTAGTAATTTTTTAGTATCAACAACTGGTTTATGTTCTAGTAATTTTTTTGGCGGTATATATGGCTCTATTTTAATTTTTTTGCAACATCCAGTAGTTGTCTCGCTATCACTGTATAAACGTTTTCCAGCAGAAGCAATACTTTCCTCATAAGATTTGTACTTTTTCCCACTTATAATAGCCTTAGATTTAGTTGACATCAGGACATCTGCTTTTTCAAGTACATCTTCTGTTTTCATGATGCATTCATCTGGCACATCTTGCACATCACACTGTTTTAGTTCTTTATTTATGTGTTCAGTTAAATCATCAGTTGCACATGATTTTTGCTCAGGTTTTTGCTGCTGACTTGGTTTTGGTTTCCCCACTAATAATGTTTCCTTGTTTATTGACTTGCACTGGTCTGCAATGAAATCCTCCTTTAAATAAAAATATAATACATATATAAACAGCTTAACATGCTGAATCTTAAACCTGTTTTCCATTTTACCCCATATAATTTTGAACTTTTTTTATATCCTCACAAAAACTGATAGATGGGAGATAAAACAGTCTTGGATAGTTGGAGAAGTGACTTTCTGTCACTCAGTTCATTAAAAAGTTGAATAGTCATTGTTTTTGCTTTATACCAAATATATTGGATAGTTTTCTAAATAAAGAGCAAACAAAATCACCTGACTCTAAAGTGCAACATGTCTCATGAAATTCATTTTTTGGACCCTCACATAGATATCTTCCCTGCTAGTCTTGGTGAATTATCAAATGAGCATGGTAAGGCATTGCATCGAAATATACAGTAGCGGACAAAAGTTTGGAAACAAATATTAACATTATGAACTATATACCTAAATTAAAATTGTGAAGGAACAGATAATATAAATACTAAAGTCTACCTTTGGCACCCATACAAATACAAGGTTTATCTTATCAATATTAGAATTCTATGAAATTAAAAACACGCGTTTTTTTAGATACCACAGTTTTGCCGTATTTATTCGTTCTGCGATACTCTGATATTGCGTGCGGTAAATATTAACATCAGTGGGAATGGGAAAAGTAAAAGAATTTTCAAAAGATTTAAGAGACAAAGTAATTGAATTATCTAGAAGTGGTGTCAGAAATGTTGACATTTCTCAAAGATTAAAAATGACACAGGGACGATTTCGAAAATTATTAGTAAATATCAAGAATACGGTTCTACAGCAACGTGGCCCAGGTGCGGAAAAAAAATCGTATTGCTTGGCATGAATTTGCTAAAACTTATCTAACTTGGACAGAACAACAATGGACTACAGTTTTCTGGAGCAATGAAAGCAAATTTATTTTTTTTTGGATCTGAAAAACAAAAAAGATTCGACAAAAAATATCAGAAGCCAACAGTTAAGCACCCTGGAGGCAACATCATGGTTTGTGGCTGTTTGTCTAGTTCTGGAACAGGTCCAATTGTTGGAAAAATGGATCAAAAACTTTACAAAGATAATAGAACACATGCTCCCTTTTGCTGAAGAAGAAATGCGTTTATGATGGACATTTCAGCAAGATAATGACCACAGGCAAACCTCAAAATTTGTAAAGGACTGGTTAAGACTAAAAAATGTTCTTACATGACCTTCGCAACCCTATAGAACATCTCTGAAAGCATGTCAAAAGACAACTGACAAGAAAAACTTTCAAGAATAGGAATGATTTATTTGATTATGAAAAAAATATGTGGCAAAATATCCCAACAAACATCTGAAAAAAATTGGTGTCTTCAAGCAGCAGATGTCAGGCAGTGTTGAATGCTATGATTCCAAATATTAGCTAAACAGTATTTTTTAAATCTTTTTGTAGAGTTATTGTATTTAATTTATGTAATAAGAAAAATCTTTCCATGCTTTTGTCGTCTCATTTTTGGTCATAATATAATATGCTGGTATCTTAATACTAATCTGTAGTACCACAGCAATCACAAATCGTCAGCAAACTATATGAGAAAAAAATAGTCCTTAATAATACAGAATAATAAATTAGCGTACTTTTTAAAAATTACTCAGAATGTTTCCAAACGTTTATCCGCTACTGTAGATATACAATTGAAAATGATCAGAAGCAAGATTTACTGATTTATGATAGTTCATATCCCATGAAACTCCAATGTAAAAAAAAAGATACAGGAAAAACCACAAAGTCACTTGCTACTAACGAGATGTTAGATAGTTTTAATGTTTTTTATGTTTTTAAACTTTTATATTATAACTAATATTTTCACAGTTATTAAATTCAAAATTTAAATTTGCGTAGTACATGCCTAGGTGATAAATAATTTTTAAAATTATATTTATAGAAATATCAAATCTATGGTAATTGTGTATAATAATCAGATAAAATATTTTTTGGCAGATCAGTGTTACCTTTGTTTGAGAGTTGACCATCTGGAGTTAATTGTATCCTAAACCAAAAGCTGTCTGCTAAAAATGCAAAAGAATCGCCATCATGCAGTTTTTTCCGACCATTTTTTGGTACTATTTCTATGTGTTTTCTGTTTGCTGCTTTATAGAAACAGGGGTTTATGTTGATCTGAAAAAGAGCAAACTATTAGACAAAATATTTATTTTTAAAGAATGGGGTAATACAATATTTGCATAAATATATGAGCCACTTAACAGATTTAAATTCTCCTCCTTTTTCTGAAAAACTGATGATAGCTTGTGGATTGTTACTATCAGCTAATTTGTAAATTTGCAGAACAGTCATGTCTAAAAAAATCGAAACAAGGCAAGTGAAGTAGTGCCAAAAGATACTTTGGTAAAGTTATTTTATGTGATGTGGTGTGTTTATTTACACAAATATTTAAGAGATTTGTTTCGCGAGATCCCCTAGCCCGTAGTGAAGGGAGCGGGGACAGATGTCAGATTGAATTTCCCCTTCCTCACGAAGTTTTGACAGTTTCAAGTCACACCGAGAGTGGTTAAATCGTTAGATGGCGCATGTTGCGCAAAATGTTTGCTCTAATGCGGGTCCCACACGATTCTTCCAACGTTGCTTACAGCGTTCGACACCCGACAATTGGCAAGTGTTTTCTACACAATGGGATGAACTTTTTAGTCTCGGACGTTCGAAGCATGGTGGTGCCAACGTCTATTATCGGTGTCAGTGTCGCGCTTGGATCTTTACAACCGAAGGAAAAATTATACAAAATAAACGATGAAACAATTTTCTCGAGCGCCGAAAAATAATTTAAGATCTGTCCTCAGCGATCAAGACTTAAGTCTGTCAGAAGCCTCAAAAATGTCGGCAAACGAAGTTTGATCGTCTTTTGTTTGTTTTTCGACGATAGCTCCACCGCCACTGTACTGATTTTCAAAAACTGCAGAGTCTCTTCATTTTCATAGTAGTAGCCTAGGGTCAAAATTCCATCAAAATACTGATAGAACTTCCAGAGTTATCATTTATTTAATCTTTTTTGTTAGTTATGAAATGCAAGTCAATATATTTCTCAACTAGTGTTGCATTGCAACAGGACATTATAATGAAACAACTCTAAGCACTTGATAAAATGTATAATTTACTAAAATACATATAGTTAGACCATCCATAACTCATCTGCGAAACGTACAAAATATTAGCGATATGTAAAAAGTGTTACGGCAGCCTATATGCTTTGTATGTATAATAATTTAATTCATTCTCCTCAAACGTTGGTTGCGGAACGTACATTATTATGAACAGGTAGGTATTCAAATCAAAATACTTCTCACATACCACTACTTCACCACAATCACAGCAAACAAATAAATGTTTTTCGCCGCTACTGGTTCTAACCTACCTAAAACCATGACATCTCTTGTGGGAGCGTAACGAACAATGCTTCCAACGTTGTATCGTCCTTTGACGCGGACCAAATTTAACGACAAGATCCCGAACATGCCATGTGGCGAACGCTGGACACATGCAATCCGTCAGCGCTCTCCCACACGATGTGACGAATTGCCATGTGGCCAACGTTGTAAGGCATTCGCCACATCGTGTGGGAGCGGTTTAAGCTCCTTGATAAACTTAGCTGTCTTGACAGAATCTGAATTGGTCCGAGTAAAGATAACATAGCCACGCAAGCCAAGTACTGAAATATACCCTACTAGACTCTAGAAGACTATCCGTAGCGAAACTTTTATCGAAATAGTTGCACACCGCTTAAAAAACGCAAATGAAGATTGAAAAACTACCGCTTTGACGTACTATATGACTCTGTCGTTAACCCGGGATAGACATACGTTTTAGCAGTTGACCTTGTCATTCTTGTCACCTAAATTGCTGCATTGTCAGCTCATCGGACAATTTTGCTACCTCTGCTATTTTGCTAGAATGTTATATAAAAAAGAGGCTTTGAATTAAACATTGAGGGATACCAATGGAGATACATAAAATTTGAGGCGTAGCAATGTTTGCCAAATAACTAAGAAAAGCTGTTATTTACATTTTGCGTTGATGCGGCGGTAAGTTAATGTCTCTGAACAATTTTATAAATGCCCAGTTTTATAGGATAAAATACTTTTTGAATACGGGACGGGACTTCTTCCGACAATTGGAAAAAGGAAACAGTTTTTTATGATATGATCATTAATAGAAGAAGTACGATTTTCATTTCCTCTACTATTTAGTAGGGGAATATTGTTTTTAGTGACTGCATTCGCAGTTGGGCGAGGAAAACCCTAGAAAACCTCAACCATCACTGCTAAGATTAATTGTATCAGCTGAAGAAAAGTCAAGTCGTTCCACAATTCTGGCTTCATTTATACAATCGAAAATCGCCAACATGCCACAGTTATTAATTTAAAAAAATAGCATTGAAGTAACAGTTTATACGAGGGTCAACTTTTTTATATGATCCAAAAAAGTACTAACCTGTATCTGATAGAATCTTTTTCCACGACTTTAACGGTATATAATGTTACATTTGTTCTTTTTTTAGTTATAGACAACTGTCTTTTTCCATGTTTTCATTTTATTTATAAAATAGTAGGCGTTGCAAACAAATGGCGGTACTGTATCACCGCAGCGAGGTACATCACTCGCACGCTTCAGTCGGTAACCGTCGGCGCAGCGGAATGTCTACGCGTTCACAGTTCCGTATTCGGTTTAGCTGCTTTTTTCAGTAGTGGTGTTCACTATAGGGTTCTCGATTGTCTCTCAGTGGTACCTTGGTGTTGTGACGTGGGTGTCACGTCTCTCCAAAGTGGAAATTAGGTCTACTTCCAACTCTTCTGAGGGAAACAGGACATCTGTGCAGGAAACTAGGTGAGCCTTGCATACTATCATCTACTTGTGCAAGGGTTGACATCATATGTTTTTCAAATAAATTGCGCACATTGCATTCACTGAGAAATTAGATATATACTGACGTATTTGGGAAAAGCTAAAATTTGGCCAAATCGTTTTTATTTTTGTGTGACTATATTTTAAGAAATGTCAAAAAACTAATGGCACTATTTAGGCACTACATGCTGGTGTTTTCAAAAAAGTGCTATACTGTATCTAACAGCAGCTACGACTTCAACGATGTATCAAGTTACATTTGTTTTTTAGTTATAAACAAACGTGTTTTTTTTTTACTTTTTCATTTTATTTAAGTAGCCGTAAATGCTTGATGTAACATTGTGTAATTACTGAATTTAACCTAGTCTGATCCTTATCTTGGCCACCCTCTAATACATTATTATAAAAAGAAATTTACAACTGCAAGACCTCGAACAAAAAAACTATTTTTATTCCAAGGAATTGGTGATAGTCTATCATTGACAGTATTCCACATCGTGCTTTGACACTAAGCCGTTGGCACTATGTTCACTAAATATGGTGCGTTGATTCATTGGCGTTTTCTAACCCAGAAATTCAGCTCTGTGTTTAGGACACTACAATGTTGGAGGATACGTGGGCACCAAATGTCCAACAAGAGTAATGATATCATGGGGTGCCTCAAGGATTTTTTGGAGTCCCCTTTTATTTGCTCTTTATATATGTGATTTTCATGAAACCGCCAGCTACTCAGTCGTTCTTCATTACGCCGCTGATACCCAACTTTATAACAGCTTCGATACTGATGAATATATGCTTGGCCAACATCAAATGAATCAAGATCTGCAGTCTATTTTTGGCATATTTAGTGCTCACAATCTAAAACTGAATGCTGGCAAATCTTGTTGCATTTTATTTGGGCCCAAAAAGAATCGTGAAATAAATCAATATCGTAGAAATACAGGGTTCGGCAGAGAGGATGGACGGTTTTGAAAAAATCATAAAATAGTTAATTTTTACTCGAAAACAAATTTATTGATGAAATCAGGTTCACAAGGAAATAGCATTTGAGACAGTCAAGTGTGGAAAATCACATCAGGCATGTGGTGGCCAACATCGCTCTCTCAACTTGGGCGACTTCCACGCGAATTTCGCCCTTCAATTCGTCCAGAGTTCCGGGCTTGTTTGCATATACTCTAGCCTTGAGGTGTCCCCATAAGACAAAATGAGGTTCTCATTTTGATCGATCAGTGCTTCCATCTCACGAGCGAAGTTCATTCGTTGTGCATAATCTCCGGGCTGTAACTGTTGCACAATGGCCAATTTGTAGGGGTGAAAGCGGAGATCCATATGCAAAATTCGACTTACCGAACGATCACTAAGGCGAAGTGCAGCAGTATGTTTCCGGGCAGATCGAGTCGGACTGCGAAGAAAGACCTGTCGAACGCGTTCAACATTTTCAGGAGTTCGAACTGTTCGCGGCGCTCCTCTTGGTCTTCTGTTGATCAGTTCACCACGCCTGCGAAGTGATTCAACCCAACGAAGGATGGTGTTTCGAGAGGGAACAGCTCTATTCCGATTAATGTTGAAGTGGCGACGAAACTCACGCTGCACGACGATGACTGACTCATTATTTCGGACGAAACAATCATAGGCGAAAACGCGGCGCTATATCGTCCAAGGCTCCATAACGACAACTGGTAAAATAATGCTAGGATTTCACGAGTCAAACGGCACCCTGCCCACCTCTCTCGTAGACGGAGGCGGAGAGTACTACCCATCCCAAAAACGTCCGTCCTCTCTGCCGCACCCTGTATTATGGTGAATAATGAGGACATATCCTTCGTAAACGAATGCAAAAACCTTGGTATCTGATTTGACTGCAAGCTAACGCTTCACTAATAATGTTAACCAACTAGTGCAATGCGTCCTATAATGTGCTTCGTCAGTTATACCCGAGTCGAAGTGTCCTGCCAACATTGCTCAAGTTTAAGCTCTGCGAATCCCTAATCCTGCCAAAATTATCTTACGGTGACTCTGTTTATGGACCTGTTCTCTTACAACGTGATGCCGGGCGGATTCATATGATACAAAACTCATGCGTTAGATTTTCTAATGGAATCCGTAAATTTGACCATATTAGTGGCGCATTTGACCAATCGGGATGGTTTAACATGACCAAATTGAGGAAACTGCATAAGACCCTTCTCCTTAAGGCTCCATATCTTTATTCAAAGCTAACCCTCCTATGTCAGTACGATCAAAGATACTCTAGAAATAAGCACATTTTACTCATCCCGCGGCATTCGACAGCATTGTTCATACGTAGTTTTTCGTACTGGGCACCCAAACTATATAACTGCTTGTTAAGTGAGTATAAGGAATATAGCCTAAGCAATTTTAAAAAAAGGTTAAAGATGAGTTTAAAGCAATCGGATGGCTCGAATTCAACTTTACGCATATCCACAGGTAATTGATTGTTTCCTTTTTCTGAGAAGTGTAATATGTTAAGCTTCTCTCTTTTAGGTGGTCAATGTTGTGAACTGTGCTATTTAAATGTAGTTACCTTTTTTCTCTTTATAGTTTGTCTCAATGTTTTTCAGGTCGGATTGAAAAACAGCATAAGCTGACATTCCACTTTTTCGTCACTATTCCTTTTAAGCCAATTATTTTGTAATCGTGTGACGAATAAAGGCCGTTTATTATTATTATTATTATATAATCATCGACGAGTTATAATTTGTATTCAAGTTCAAATACTTCAGCTGTCCATTTTTAGCTTCCCCAAAATGAATGCCTAATAAGACAGATTTCCATATCTTGCAAAGTCAGAATAGGCTTTCATGAAGAAATGGCTCATATTTCTATCATTCTAGCAAAATCGCCCGATGAGCTGGCAACGCTGTTATCTATGTGACAAGAAAGACAAGGTCAACTTTCAAAACGTATGTCTATCCCGGGGGTGTTTGTACTTAAGTCATTTCACCTCCCTGATGGATACGATCACAGTACCATACACTGCTCGTGGGTTTACGTTCCGTGATTGACATGGCGGGCCACATCCGCGCATGCGCATAAGTGTGCGAGTAAGGTTATGTTGTTTTGATTTGAATGAAACTTCTGTCAGTGCTTCAGTTTCATTGAATATATTTTGTGCCGAAAACCTGATGCGCTGATCATGAACACCGTTGGTATTTTCTCCATTTCCTGTAAAGTCTCAGCTGTTGCTTCTGTGCTTTAAAACAGGGGTATTAGTGTTAAATCCTTGCAAAATATATGAGAAGATTTGAACCAGCTTGCAGTTTAATATGACTGTCGTAAAGATTTTCAATATAGACGACATTGGCCTTAAGCAGCCCTTAAAAACTTTCCCAAAAGGTGATCATGTAATTGGAAGAGGAGAATTAAATGTAAGTCTCGGGCACTTGAACAATAAAATCCATAATCAGACCTCTGTTTTGTTTTAGTGCCATGATAAAAGAATATCTAGAAAGCATGCGATAATATCTATCACAGATAACGCTGCTGAACTGAAAGCTGTGAGTATTATTTGCATAATCTACAATCTATATAATTATTATTATAATTGCTCATTTCAAAACCCACTTGAGTCCATATTTTTACAAGCATGCTTTTTTTACTGAACATTTTTCATTATAAGTAGATTTGCATTCTGGGTAAATACTACATTCCTTCCCCTAGAAATAACCACCTAATAGACGTTCAGTACAAAAACATCATAAGCCTGTTGGTTGTTGCATGCACACTCATTGGTGGGTCATTCCAAACACAATACCAGTCTTGTTTTATTTTTGAGTTTATCTGCTATATGCACCAAAATTAGAATTTTAAACATTAGATCTGCTTTGTCAACATCACTTGTTTGAGTTTTCTTGTTTACTATGAAAACCATCGACAATCCTCCTCATTTATATGACTGATTATATATACAAGTGTGTATGTATGGACGGAGGTTATGAGATGATACAAATGTCTTTTATGTAGATCTTAATGCAACACTATCCACCATGATGAAATGCTGTGTATTCACTTCCATGGTGGGATGTATAGCAAATGGCTGAGGGCTTTTCATGAGTAACACTTTCTGCAGGAAAGGCTGATGAGAGGATTCATTCTATCGAGCTTTTCTTCCTCAGAGAGGCTATAAAAGCTTTCCCCTGCCTTAGAGCGCATCTTGATGCATGTAGTCAAGTGGTCATAGATGGCCCAATCAGAGTGACCTACTGTAATGTCTGAAAAGTAGAAGTAAACGAAAATAAAAAAAATTTCCAAACACGCATTTTGTTTTTGGACATGACTGTATCAAAAGTTCCAGATGGCAAAAAGCTTTGGAGGTCAATTTGAATGTAAATTAAAATATCAAGTATCATTTTTGCGAGCAGTATTTTCGTTACATAGCTGCATCAGTCTGCAGAACGTGGTCGATCGCTCTTTGGAGTGACAAATCAATTGCAAAAGCATTGACACGTTATTCCCTTCATAAATAACCAACTTGCAAAAAAGTTAATTTATGGATTTTGGTTCTCAAGAGCTCGAGTGGTGTGACATTACATTTCTTTTGCCATCTAGCAATATCATATAATACCGGCCTATTTCCACGTTGTCAACTTTCTTAATTTTTAATCACCGTTGCCTAATATTTCTCATTCAAGTAATTTTTTCAATTCACCATACTTTGAGGTACGAATTTCCAAAATCTTTAGTAAAATTGCTACAATTGAATAAATGATTCTTGGGCAATGGCTGTCCATTTTATACCTATTTGTTATCTGTTACTCAGATCCACATAAATCCGTGCTTCTACAAAGCAGACAAAGCAAAGAGCATAGAAATACTAGAACAAAATACCACAAAAGAACTCAGTGATGGAGATACCTTCTCACTTTTAGCAGATAATTTTTGGTTCAGGGTAAAATTGATCAGTAGAGATGATAGCTCGAATGATGTTGAGCGTAATTCCTTACCAAAGCGCACCTGTGATGAACTGGATACGTCACCAAATAAAAGAATAAGAACAGATGAGCAAAATGCATCACCAAATACACCACAAATTAGACCGGTTGATACTCAGAAGCTGCTGAAAAATATACAACAGATTGATAGTGAAGATTATCCGGATACTTTGTGTCAACAAAATGATGATTCAAATCAAAGTGTAGATTTGTTAGATCTTATGCAGACTGCAGAAAATGAACCCATTGATGCCAGTAGAATGCCGGCTGCTGAGGTTGAAACACAAGATAATAATGAAAAACAAACTACGACAGCTGGCAAAGATACAGCAGTAAAGGAAAGGGTGTCCGATTCAGAAGATGAAACAAGTAATGTAGAAAATACTTCTCAGAGCATAGAAACAACTCTGACAGCAGAAACGCATAATGCTGTTACTCTCGAACCAAAACCTGAACCTTTGGATGACGAACCTATGGAGAAAGCAAGTTCAAGTCTTACTGTAAAAATTGAACCTGCGGAAGATGCAAGTGCGACTATCAAAAAGGAAGCAACGATGGAATCGAACGAGAATGATCCAAGAGGAACTGATTCGTCCAATGCAGCTGGCAGTAGTGCCACTTCAGATAAGCCAAAGATACTAAGACGAGACAGGTGCTGGTATGGAACCAGTTGTTACAGGTAGGCAATAAGAATATGCTCTATACTAACAGCCTGTCAGTCCGTCATTTTGAAAGATGGCGATTTCGTATTGTAGGGTTGAAAATACTTTAGCTTATCACATAACACCATTCTATTTGAAGCAATACTTAAATGGAGCCCAGTCGCCATCTTGAAAATTAGCGTGCTAGCTTGACCCTGCCATAAAATAGTAAGCGGAGGCTTTTGGAAAACCACTTTATTATGATCAACGAATTCGAATAGAGCCAAGCCTATATGCTTACATTGCATTGTATGTCGCCAAAATTGTGTAGTGTTAGTTCATACTTTTGGCGAATTTGCGTAACATTGCCTACCAAAGTGACCAATACATCTGCGTGCTATTCGTACTAGGTGTACTAATTTAGAGCAAGGCAGAAATAGTATCTGTGCTGTGACTTGAATCACTCATTTACTGTTTATGAACAGGAATGAATTAAATAATCAAAATTGAATATTTATCAACGGTACAGCATATGAACAATTCTGCTTATTTCGTAATTTTGGAAGGTGAACATTACAAAACATTTTCTCCAACAAACGGCAACCATGGCTGAATACCTCCCTGAATACCTGAAATTTCAACGATACTCATGGTAACGAAAAATACTTGAAAAGTATAACCTCATTATTAAAACCTGAGACGTGGAGCTGGCGTCAAAGCGTTTGTTTCTTGAATCCCGGCAATAAGGTTATGTTCTTCAACGTTAAAAAAGATTTATTATCATCGCATTTAGTTTCTAGAATGACATTAATGCTTCCCATGCATCGGTAGCACATTACATCAGAAATCCATACTGGTTTGAATAGTAAAATTGACCTAAAAGTACATTCAATACAAGGAACGTAACTACGTTTGTTTGACCGCTGCTTGACGGGCATTAGCGCCATTTCCCGGGCATTCATGTTAATAGCGCGATGTATGCTTTTAACGGAATTGCCCAAACAGAACTATATCTTCTAAAAATCATTTTCCATGCACATTTTCAGAAAAAATCCAATCCATCGTCAGGACTTTAGCCATCCAGGCGATACCGATTATGACAGCGATCCTGAGGACGATCGTCCGCCATGTCCATTTGGAAATGCCTGCTATCGCACTAACATGCTTCACAGGAGACAGTACAAGCACCCTGGAAGGCCGGCCCCGAAGCCAAGTAAGGTGCAGTATAATCTCAACATTGCTGGATGCCCATATTGCTCCCATTGCACAGGACATTCAAATCGTGAAGATAGATATGATTCTGAACATGATTTTGATTCTGATTCAGGTCTTGAATTTTAAAATAAAGTTTTTTGTTTATAGTATCATTTATAATAAACGCTGTTCGCACGAACAGTTTAATTTGAAATTATGTTACTTATTTTAAAATCGTACAAAAATTAGGATCCCAAAAGACTGATAATCCGCCGTATCCCCTTCAGGGATAGTATTTTTCAAATCGGTGATAAAAGTCGTTTATAAGAATATACAAAAATATATCGAATGGCAGCTTATCATAAATATGTAACTCGTTGTTACAGTGAGTTGATATCACGAACAACCTATTTGACATTTCGGACGTATGCATTTACTTGACTGATACTGAATAGAATCTGTTTCTACACACGACGTTTTGATAAGCGGTTCTGTAGTGAAATTTTATATTAGTACTTTTGATTAGTTTGAAATATTTGATTGTGTATTTTAAAAACACTTCAAGACACTTCCAAATACTACGAAATGCCTCTAGATAATTTGAATTCCTTCATGAATCAACAAAGAAGCAATAAAAATAGCTAGAAATATTTCACACAGTACTTACATGCGTGATAAGCTTTTTAACGAACCTGGACGGGATAAGGCATTTTCAGAAAAATTCGATTGTATAAATTCACGTGGACTCTCCTAAGATCGCATCCTGTGTTTTATTAATTTAAGCAGCACCTGACTGCGATAAAACAAAAAAAAATATAATGATATCCATGCGCAATTGCAGTGAATTTAGCATAAAAACGAAAAAAAAAACACTATATCCTGGTAACCAGAGCACTTAGAGCATTACGGTGATGCAGAAGGGCGTGCAAACTCCCCGTTGCCAATATGGTACACCAGCAAATGTTTGCACTGGTTACTACAATAGGTTAGGTTACTTGCAAACCCAAGAAGGAGGTTTGTTCGAACATTTAATATAATATTTTGTTTTCATTTTGATTAGAATTATTTATTTCAATTCTGATGCGTCTTAGTGTTTTGATTTATTTTAGAATTATCTTTAATTTCCATCGATGGTGATAAAATCAATACATCCTGGGTTATTGTTAGATTCCCGAAATCCGGAATCGATCCTAAACAGATTCGAAACAATTCAAAAATGTATACGCTTAAATTAAAACCATTCTTTGGGCTTAAAGAACAACCTATCCCATATTTTCAATATGAATCTTAATTCAAGGAACTGGTGAAACATAATGGTAACGCGGCAGATTGTCGAGCAACGTGGCGATGAGCTTCGCTATCCAGGCGGCTGCTATCTCTTTCTAATATATCTGCCAATGCACACTTCTCTCTCGAACACATTGAACTCAAGCCGTCAAACAAATTTGATTCTCAGTGTATACTGGCATTATGCTTGGAGTGTAATTTAATGAAGTTACTTGACTTCGTCAGGTAACGTTTAAAGATTTGGTCACCGACGATTGGTATAGGGTGTCCAGAATATTTAATAAAAATCCAGAATGTTTCAACCTCGTTTGTTGTTCTTCAAGTATAATTAGAGTTAAGTACTAATATGTTCCGAACTCCACGGCTTTTTGACGTTTTCTTACTCGAGTATACCTTTTTGGCGTAAATGTCTCATTCCCATTTTCTTCCTCATTTGGTAACTAATTATTAGAATTTTCACTTCGAAAAACAACTTTGTGATTAGTGACTTTCGTGTAAACATATTACGATTTCATGGTCATTTCATGAAGTAGCCGTACGTTTAGTTGATCATATCGTTTAACAATTTGTTATCATTGATCTAGTCAACGCACATCATGATCTGGCCAATAGATAATGATCGAGCATTTCATGAAATAGTCAATTTTATGATATGGCCACGACATATAGATTTAAGTCACTATTGTGTAACTGAAATATTAACATTTGGACTATTCTGAGATATTATTTATGCTTTGTATACATGTTCGGAATCATCGTATGTGCATTGCAACATTTGCAAGTTTATTTTTTATTTTTGTGCCTCTGTAGACTATAATAAAGAATTATAACTACAAATCTGGAGTAATAAAAAATGTGATGTCTTTTATATCTAGTAAGCATTTAGGTAGTTACATCACATACTACAGCGTTTAACCTGGAAGAACAGAGAACATATGTTGTATTAACCTACAGCTCCTGAGGTATGGAAACAACAATTTACAGTATGACAATGCTTTCTCTATTTTATTTTAGGTTCAAGTGCACGGAAAAAGGGACGAAAACGTAATAAGGATCAATCTTTGAGTCGAGGCACTCCCGAAACTTCTGAGAGTTCTGAATCAGAAAGTGACAGGCAACCAGGGTTAGTTAGTTTGGGACATTTTTTATTTTTTAAACATTTGATTTTTCTCCCACGCCACTGACGAGGCAGTATTGAAATCGCGAAAATGTTCGAAAATGAGATACTAATTTTTTTGGATGTTATATGACATGAAAGTCGATGTCACTCATTTCTGTCTCTATCTGACTGTCCGCTGATCCTTGGCCCCTCTATAACCTGGAAAATGCCTCTCAGATTTTGATGAAATTTTACATGGTTACTATACTGTGCCAATGATGAAAAAGCTTTATTGTTTTTGACAAGTAGTCCAGTGGCGGTGAAGACAAAATACGGAAAAGATTAATTATTGTTCGAACTTAGTTTGTTGACGTTTAGAGGCTCCTGATCATTTTCAGAGAAACTTTTGTCGGGGTTGAAAACCGGGGTGTGCAAAATGTTTTATGCTTCCAACCCTGGTAATTCTAAGCAACTATTAGACATATTTCACACATCATAGATTTCCCCGTCCATTTGCCCTTAAAAATGTTATAGAAATATTTTCAACAGATGAGTCGCTATAAGTACTTTGCCGTCCGGTCTGTGTCTGTTTCGGAGTCGGTAATAGCTGCCGTACATGACGAAAGGCGAGGGCAAGATGAGTCATAGCTACGTTCATGGGTGCACGCAAGAATTTTTCTTAGGAAGGAAAAAGATAACTTTGTGAAAGTGTACCTGTCTGAAATGCCTTCTGAAGAACGGAGGGTAGTAAAATTTTCTCAGGGAGTAGGGGCATATTTTAAAAATCCATAAACTTGAATACAAAATCATGCTAAATATTCAAATTTTAATTGTTTAAACCTGTTTAACTGACTTGAGCCATTTTATTTTTTACTTATCCTCTATGAAGTACATTGCGTCGGAAGTGCAGAGTCGACCCACTTGACGCCATCGTTTTATGGAACTCGTAATCGGTGTACGTGATCGAGTTTTAACTAGCTTATCGTATTGTTACAGGAACTGAAAATTTTAAAATAAACGTTTCCAGTTAACCCTTCCTCGATCATTTGCAGCGTTATTGATACACGCATCCAATGTTTCCATCATTGAAATTTATAGAAATCCTGAGAATTTGAAGATTCTGAATATTGTCAGAGCTGCAAATTTTGCATTTTTGCTGGTTTCCTAAGTCTTAAATATTTTGAAAATTGTGAAACCTTGTGAATTTGATAATTTTGAAAATTAAAATTTTTGATATGTCATTAAGCTTTAATGTAAGATGCAAATGTCAAGTCACCACTAAAGCTTGTGTTATATATGTGACTATAAATGTGAGCTTTCAACTTGAACTGAAAAACTTATATATTTCTTAACTAAACAGACACACCCGACGACAAAAAAGGAAAGCAGCAAAGAAACTGAAGAAACTCGACGAAACGCCAGAAGATGATTATGATTTGGAAGATCCGTTCATAGATGATGCAAGTAGCGATGCATTCGAACCTTCAGATGATGATGAAGATTCGGATTGGGACGATGAGGTAGAGAGCGCCGATGGAGGTGAGGATATCGGGAGATTGATCAACGAAGCTAAAAGATTCACAAAGAAGAATGGCACCCAACAGCAAATAACTAAAGGCAAAAAGGTATAATGATTTTGGTGATTTTATACAGTGTCCCAACAAAAATGGAAAGTGGTTTTATGTTACAATTACACAGGATATTCGGAAATGGTTTGCGCAGCAATTGATATCTGATATATATGATCAAATTTCAATTCAAACACCACAAACGAACAATGCAAAACTACAACAGTCGAAACCATAATTTCGATCGTCTTGCTATCATGTGACGAAAAAGCGAATCTGAAGCTATAGAAATATTTAAATATATAATACATATACGGTGTTCAATTTAATTTTTTGAGACAAAACACGCGTTTTTCAATACCCTGTATAAACATATAATATTATTGACACTTTTTGTTAGCTGAGCTTATAATTTATATGATTTTTATCTTTTGCCAAGATACAATAAAAACCATACAAAAGTGGCGGATATTCAGGCCTTCAATGTATAGATACTTGCAGACATATGATGTAATAACTAAACAAATGACGATCAAAACATAGAATATTATATCAATCTTCTTGTTTCGAAAATGTCTTTCCAAATATCTGAAAAATACAGGGTGTTTCATTCAAAAATCATGCTGTGTGTTGTGCCAAGGAGCTATGCAACACCCTGTATACGTTTAAATAATCTAAAAATACCCACCTATCTTGCTGCAAAAATCCAATTGTCCCATGAAAGTACTTTCCATTTTCCTATATTTCAATCTAAAAACATGTCTTTTCGTATAGAAATTGCCGGGACAAAAGAAACGGGCTAAAAGGGATCAAGAGAAGGCTGAAGACGATTTGGATCAAATGGATGACAAAGATTCAGATATTTGAAACCGTAGTAAATAGTTGTATACATAATTATCGTAATACTTTTTGAAAAAGATTTTAAACTATTAAATAAAAATTAAAAGTTTAATACCAGTTTTCTCTACAAGATTGATATATTATTGGAGAATTGTGTTTTTTCTTCATAAAATGAACATTTGTCATCGCTCGAGAATGTTCAGATAATTTTTTTTGTTAATATCTGATCCGTTCACTTCTTTACGTCACGCTCAAATTGTTACATTATTAAAATGGTGTTTATTTAACCCAGATGACTTTAATCTGACGCACTTCAGTATTTCTAATGATCGCTTCTCTACTATCCTTATCGACTGCGCTAGACGTACGACCCTATATAAAGGACTTAAATGCGAGGTATGAAAATTAAGTGATGAGTCGGGCACGTAGCGTTCGATCTGGCAACACTGGAGGCACCGGGCTTGGAGGGGATACAGGGGAACATGTGATCCGACTTCAATACAAGTTTGAACTCACTCGAGTCATTTGGTTGTCCGTTGTTAAACAGTTTTTTCTATTCTAAAAATGTGTGACATCACTTTCAAGCAGCGGTGTGCTAACAAGTATTGCTTCAGACTTGGTAACAGTAAAACCGAAACTCTTGCTAAACAGGCCTACGGAGGTAGTGTTTTGTCAAGAACACAGGTTTTTCGGTGGTTTAAGGCATTGTCAGAAGCGAGAGAGTCCATTGAAGATGAACCACGAAGCGAAAGGCCTTCATTTTCAGGAATCGATTAAAATATCAACAGAATCCGGAATCTTGTTCGATCAGATCGGCGGTTGACAGCCAGAATAATCGAGGAGGAGTTTAATTTGACTCACACCACCGTTCATCAGATCAAGACCAACTAGGTGATGCATCACGATACTGCTCCTTGTCATACAGTAATGTCAATAATCGAGTTTTTGACTAGTAAAGACATTCCTTTATTCGCCTGACTTGAGTCCCTATTACTTTTTTCTCTTCCCGAAGTTGAAGAATCAGCTCAAGAAAACTGAAGGCTATTCCAGTAGAGTTCCAGTACTGATATGAGTCGAAGGAGAACGCTGTGTGGCTTCAGAAAGAAGTTATTTTGAAGGTAACAATATAAAATTGTAATTATATTTGAATAACTAAATGAAAAAAAGTCTTATCACTTGATTCACAGACCTCGTATGATATAGGTCAGGGCTGTCCAACATGAGGGCCGCATGCGGCCCGCGAACTCCTTTCTTGCGGCCCGCATCACGGGTCATGTATACATCACATGTACCGATGTTCGTTGGTTAAGCGCCGGAAAGTGTTTGTATATAGATATATAAATGTTCTATAGAAAGATTTTATAATGCGGCCGTCCAAACTGCATTTTTTGGCCCTTAGGCCACATTAAGTTGGACAGCCCTGATATAGGTAATTAATAGAGTACAAGATATCCCCCTTTTTGTTCATCTGTTGCTCTTGGGTAAATCCAAAAATCCCCTCTTCCGCTCCACTACTTGTTGGCATCCTCTAGGAAAAAACTCGAATAAAAAATGAAAATATAGCCCAAATTGTTTATTTACAATACATTGCATTGATATTATCATTTATATACTTATTACTACGAAGAATACTGATTTTTATACATCCCTTCTTGTAAGTTTGAATTTAAGTGGCTGTTCAGGAACATACGTCGGAGACACTTTGTACGTCAGTGTACCATAGTTGTAGTCAATTTTATATTTTCTAAAAATCTGAAAAAAGTAATATATAATGTCATCTTTGGCGACTTATCTTATTAAACAGATTTCCGCTTACATTGCCAGATTCGTAAACGTTAATCTTAACGTTTCAGTAATGACTACTATTTTAGTAATTTCTACATCGACTGTCACACGATCAGTATTTATTGATGTACCTATTGGCGAAGAGTAGTTGTATCGAGAGAAGAGTGTCTTTATAACCCTGCTAAGGATCCGCGTGCTTCGCTCATATAAGAATTGTGATGTTAGAAAAAATTTGAATTTCGAGCTGATATTTCTCTTGTGTTGCTAAACTGGATCGTTTAATATGCCGCGTAGTAAAAGTAAATATGAACAAAAAAACTGTCACTATGAGTGATAGATAATTAATTCTAAAAAGAATTATCTATGTGGCAACGCCGTATTTATCTTTGACCAAATAAAAAACAACACGTGTTTAAACGCCATCAGCTGTTTTGTGAACGCCATGTTCTATTATACTCACTCACACTCCTATCTCTCTCTTCAGCTTTTCTGAAGGAGAGAAAATACTATGAAAATTAAGGAGGACATAAAGGCGCCCTACAATTGTAGGAACGACTTAAAGCTGTTATTATAGATTTATAGATAATACTGCACAATCATCTTTGACTTTGGAACATCAAATGCTACATTGATCTAAATAAACGGTAAACTATTGTTAGGTACAAGAGAACAAGATATTGTTTGATTCAAAGTAGTGACGAAAAAATGTTTTAACCATTGAATGAGCGAAGAAAGACATTTTGTTTTGCAATAGATTTAAATCATTAAGCAAATAATCTGTTCAGTACCTTGGATAAGAGTGTGTTCATTTCAACTTCTGCAAATCTCCTACCAAGACAGGATCTTCTGCCATATCCGAAAGGTAGAGATACGAAAGGGTGAATCTTTTTCTGATGAGGACACCCAGAAATGGAAACATCGCTCTTCAGCCACCTTTCAGGTACGAATTTTTCGGGTTCCTCGAAGTACTGTTCACTGTTGCTTACTAGCAAGTGGGGGAAGATCACGTGCGTCTACAAAATGCAAATTGCTAATATAAAATGTTGAAAAGAGCTACATTTCATGACTCATCGCTCTGTAGTTCTCTTGGTTGAAATGGGATTACGTTATACAGGGTGTTCTTAATATTCACTGTAATACATACACATTTAGGTAACCGAGATAATAGGCTCTAAAAAAATCTGCTATATCCAAGACTGACCAGTCCCCGCAGATTATTAGGTGAAGTTTGCTAATTTTACTTTCTGAAATGACCTCAAACCCCTCCCACTTCTTAAAGCAACCGTGTTACGAAAAAATTATGCTAACAAAATAGTAATAATACACGAATACAATGCAATAAAGCTATCTAAATAATATAAAAATATATGTTAATTAAGAATGTTTGCGGAGAAGCTGCAGTTAAATTTTGAAGGTAAGAGTGATGCTCCCTAGCGGTCATATTGGGAAGCTGAAAATAATTTCGAGCAATTCCTCTGGGTCAGTATTTCTCAGTTAATCGATGACGCTCCCTTTTCAGTAACTGTCAGAAAGTATAAAACTATTATGACACACTAGGTATATTTACACTACAGTAGTTTCGAGGGGCGTGAGAAAATAATTGATTTTCAAAATGGGAAGTAGACAAAACAAGTTTGAGAACCTCTGCTCTAGGTGGAATGCTGACAGATATAGCCGGCGCCCTTTATTAATGGCACATGAAAGTAGTAACGGACTTATGATATGATGTTAATTTGAGATGAGTGTTCTTAAAATGCTATTGAAGCTTCGTGGGTGTATAATGTGTTTCGTGATATTACAAACATCTAGCCACACAGGATATTTGAAGGGACGAACTTCGAGGAGAATTTTGCAAACGTCGCGTACAAGGTTGTGTTTTGACGACAACTTCGAGCAGTATTCATAAATATCATGGACAGATGGTACTTGAAATCTCTTATCGGATGAACCATGAGTACTTTGCTATTTTTTTCAATTCGCTGCTGTTTCACCGCATATTAGCTTTGTCATTTCAAGCGTAGTTATTCTTGGAAAAGAAGGTCACAACTTACAGTACACCCTGTATATTCGTAGTGATTAACGAAAAAAATCTGGCAGAAATGGGCCGGCTGATGGAAATTCTCGACCATCAGTGAAACTTACCATAGCTTCATGCTCTCGTTGCTTGTGTTGTTCATTTTGGGGGGTATTTGCTGCTTATGTGGATGAAACAACACTATATTCGCCATCGCTTATCAGAGCGGTAAATAGGACCTTTCTTGGAAGTTATCTAGTCAGTCTATATCATATTAGACGAAAAATACCCTGGTTTGCAAAATAATTGTAATGTTCGGTTTTATCCATGCTTGGGTTCATAAATGGGTATCTCATTTTTTTGGGAAAACTTTTTATTCAGCAACAAACAATGAGAAAACGCGTTCTTTGGGATTGTATTTAAGATGTTTGTATGAAAGGTAAAACTCTTCAAACGGGATTTTTAGGTACTTGAGCAAAAAAGAGACCACACATAAAAATATCCGATTAAAAGCAAAAAAGCTACAGTATATTCAGATAAGAGATAGACCGGATGTAAACAAAAGGTTCGGGTGATTTTCACGCTAACGCCGCCGTCTCGACGTAAAACAGGAGCCCTCATTGGTCAATTCGCAATTAAATGCCTATGCCGAGCGGCAGAGCAGTCGTATCAAGGCAGAGTCACATTCAGGTTCAGACGTGTTACGTATGTCGTGTGCATCATTGCAATTTGATATTTCTTTGGACGTTTTCGTTTGTTATCTTATTAAGTTGTTGAGTTTGTCGTTGTTATTGTTATACCTTGTTACTGATTGTTATTGTTATCAACTGCTTGCGCAAAATGCCCAGTAGTACAGATACTGCCGATGAAGTTGTAAACTCCTGTAGTCCACCTAGGAAACGCTCTAAAAAAGACACCTGAGTGCAGAAATGAAAGAGGTCATTTTGAATATATATGTATAAGATCGAGCGCGAGGAGAACGAGGCATCAACCATCAAATAAATTGTTGTGAAGGTTTCTCACAAAGTTGAGGTGTGTCGCGCATCAGTGTTTAATGTGTTAAGACAATACAAAAAAAATCACACCTTTTCTGAGCCAATGACCAGTAAACATCGCAAAAGTATTGTTAAATCATTGGATGAAGCTGATAAGCATGCGATTAGGAGGAAAGTGCATGAATTCTTCTTTAGGAATGAAATACCTACTATAGATAAAGTACTGCAGGAGGTAAATGGAGATACAATGTTGCCAAATTTCAAAGGATCAACTTTCCATGCGTTACTGAAGCATTTAAATTTCAAATGGAAAAAACGGGGTCGTAATAGTTTACTACTGGATAGAGAAGAAATTGTGCTACGGAGGAGGGATTATTTAACAAAAATTGGGAAATATAGAAATCAAAACAGGAAGATTTATTACCTTGATGAAACGTGGGTAAACGCAGGGCACACTACAAGAAGTAAAGTATGGGTTGATGATTCTGTAACTTCATCCAGGAGGGCCTTTCTAGATGGACTGTCCACCGGATTAAAAAATCCAGCAGGTAAATACGAGTAATAGACAACAATCGGATGTTTTTCAAACCTTGGGAACAAGGTTCTAAACATTAATTCCAGGGGGCAGATAAATCATATTACAAGTAACAAAACTTTTATAACTTTCGATAAAATGCGTGGATGTTTTGTTGTCATTTTCATTGGTTAGAACTTTTTTAAGCCATGCTTTTATGTGTTTTCGATATTTCAATAATTTTTTAATATAATCTTAAAATATGTCGAATATTATAAACTTAAAAGAAGTTACTAAGTTTTATATTGTGTACCGTTCCTAATATTTCTAATCATTTTAATTCATACTTTAAGCTTTATAAATTTATAATTTGTTAATATTAATATTTGCGCGTATTTCAGGTTCTTGATCATTCATTCTTTAAAGGTTTATAACTTTAAATTAAATTGTGAAGCGCTGAGTAATCATATGACGTTCAATATTCTTTCTTTCAATATGACTAAATAATCCCAATTATAGCAATCTGATACTCATGTCTCAATGTTTTTTCGCTGAATGTGATGAAAACATTTGAAAAAGGTTCGCTTATTGAAATAAATCTACACCAGTTAGTACTTCGATTTCCAGGTAAAGGGAAAACGCTCATTATCTGCCATATTGGCAGTGAGGATGGATTTGTTGTTGACGGTCTGTGGTGCTTTGAGTCTAAGAAAACTGGAGATTACCACGAGGAAATGAATGGCGAATCGTTTGAACAGTGCTTTTCAAAAATTTTACCGAACTTAGAGGAAAACGCAGTAATTGTGTTGGATAATGCGCCTTATCATTCTCGAAGAATGGAGAAGGTCCCAACAACGGCTTCAAGGAAAGTTGATGTTCAAAATTGGCTCCGCTCGGAAAATATCAACTTTGAAGAAGCAATGCTGAAAGTACAATTATTAAGAATTGTCAAGGATCACAAGGCGGAATATCAAAAATACGCCATTGACGAAATGGCAGCAAGTCAAAATAAAACTGTGATCCGTTTACCTCCATACCATTGCGAGCTCAATCCCATTGAGCTCATATGGGCAGAGGTTAAAAATTATATAGCTAAGCACAATACAACTTTTAAATTTTGTGACCTCAAAGGAAGCACTAGAATTAATAACAGCGCAAAAATGGGAAAACTGTATTAAGCACGTGAAAGACAAAGTTGAAAAGAGAATGTGGGAACTGGACAATATTTTAGAGGAGCAAGTCGAGCCATTCATTATTGACGATGGTGCTTCAGGCAGTAGCGATGATGAAAGCTCATCAAGCTCATCTTTCCAATAAAAGATGTCGTTCATCAAATTCGGTAAGTTATAAGTAATTATAAAGCTACTGTATTTTTTAATTAATTATTGACATTTTTGAACCCATTTTGGCAAAACCTATTCAAGAATCTACTTCCTGACAATGTTCAACCATGCACATTTTTTTACGTTTTGAACGTTTTAATTTGGTTACATATTTACCTAGAAATCAAAAAATATACTAATCAATATTCTAAAAGCAATTTTAAGAGATATACGATTATTTTTAATTTAGGCTAATTTAAACGCCATTTTGAGATTATATTCGACTGTATTTCACCAAACATCAGGCGGCATCCGAAGCTGGAAATCGAAGCGAAAATTTTGAAACCCTTATGTATATTTACATCATTATATATTTCTTACCCCACCCCCACATGATCCTATATCCATCACCAATCGTATACACATCGAATTGTGCTAATTTACTACAAAGTTACGCAAAGCAGCATCTACTATCTAAAATATGTACTGCGTGACTCTTAATACGTCCCTGCCGAATGTTACAGCGTTCGATGATCACGTGGTCTTGTTTATGTCCGGTCTATCTCTTATCTGAATATACTGTATGGCCAAAAACCTATACAAGATGCAGCTTTGCACCTGTTTGTAATGTGACGATAGCGTCACGTAAATTCTTCAAAACTGCAGGTCTCATACTTCTAGGACAACCACAATAAATTTGGAGTCGATTGATCAATAAATTTTTGGGAATTTCTAATCGCTTTCCTAAAAACACTTTTCCCAACCAAGTTATGAAGCAACATGCAAGGCTCACAAATCATTAGTCTAAGTTATTTTTATGCGAATTGCAAAAACGAGGTTGTGTTTTTTCTTTTAAATAAATTCAAACATTTCGTACCTGTGAGAAATCTAACAAAAAAAATGTTACAGTATTCGAAAAACATACGCTATCACACTCATCTTAAAACAAAGCGGAGGAGTTTTTGTCGCAAACATTTTTTAAAATTTTCTCCCTACTCGTGCCTATATATATATACGTATATATATATATATATATATATATATATGTACTATATATTTAGAGCTGACATTTCCGCACTGTCAAAGGTAAGCCTTAAAGCCTAGTAGAAATGATCGCATATTGAAACGCCTTGAATTGCTTAAAAAGTTGGCACGCAAACTGAAAACACAATTTATGGTTAAACGGCCGGTTAATATGTGCTGAAAATGGTGGCTGCATGACTTCGTCAAATAAGTATGTCAATTAAAATAGGATATTTTTATTTTATATAGCAAGCGTCAGTTTATAAAATCTCGAATCATTAATACCATTACAAGTACGAAGTGTTTGAAAACTTGAAAAAGAAAAAAAAAATATCAACCAATTGTGGCGAACTGACCATCTGAAAAATTAGGCAAAATGCTCAGTATTACTTCTAATTATATATGGCTTTGGCGTTGTAGCTTCGATGTTATTCAAAATTATTTCAACTGTTTATGACATATTTGATGTGCCATCAACGTTCAAAGCTCAAAATCATTAGGTATAGGGGTGTAAACATCAAATAGACCAAGAGGCGTTGTGGTGTGGTGGAAAGGAAAATGGATGCGGGGTGGCAGGTTCGAATGCACAAAGCATGCTTTTTTCCTAATCATTTTTTATTTTCTATTAATACGGGAAAGACTGATTCAGTAAGGTTGCACTGGTACGAGGTCAGAAGAATGAGCGGAAAAAGAAAGAAGGAAAGAAGAGGACAAGCAAAAACGAGAAAGTGCTCGCTTGAAGTGTTGCCTTGACATGTTGTAACGTAACATTTCGGAATTTTAAATTGATGTTTCCTGTTGGTCCTAAAATTCTCTGGTTGGATTTTGTCCACACTGCGCAACAGGTCTTGTTCTATCCCGCTTGAATAGGATGAAATTAATACAGACATTAGAACCGATTCTTATTGGAAATAGTGACACAACTAACAAAGCCGCCTTCTTGCTTGTGAAAGACATTTGACAAGTCGCCGGTCACTCGCATGTATCAAAACTGTCAAAGCAAATGAAGTGACCTCAATATAAGGATGCCTTAAGTGAAGGAATGGTTATGCTTGATAGTAGCTTAGCTTACAGCAAGTGTCCCTACCCTTCTATTGCAAGTATTTTGATGTAAGTTTTGTGACAGTTGATTTATAAAATGTCGTCGGTTTCCTCTATTCGTTGTCCGATCTAGGATTCTTTTAGGGGAACGGAAGTGCTTAATTTGCACGCTATCCCTCATCCTCCGGAAGACTCATCTTCGTCCTGGTACAAAATTGGAAAGTGCCGTGTCTCCTCCCAGTACTTTCTTAGTACTCACTAGAATATATTCGAACAGCAAAACATATGCCTCTACTATCATTTTTTCTGCTCCTCAAACGTTCAAGTAACGATGGTTTCTTATCAAAATTGCACCATTCTGATCTCTGAATCTGAATAGACGATTGTTAGTTACCTATAGGTTTGGAAGATAAGTTTTGTCGATTTTGAGGTGAAAAGTTAACCAAAGTACCTCACCTATGAAATCTATTTAATCAATAACATAGTGGTAAAATGGTCATCTATAATCTCTTCAACGTTTTGCTAAAATCATTATGCCGCTTGCTGCGGCCTTATTTGAGTCTTAGTAAAAAGCAAACATTGAAATCTGATTTTGATTAAAGTTTGTATAAAGAAGAAAGCCTAATGAAACAAACAACTGGCGATTGCATGGACTGTGGCTGAAAATTTGTATAGTGTTGCAATCTTTATCGGGAATCGCAGAACTTTACCTCCAACCCTATTTTCCGTTGACAATCAGATGAATGATGGAATGAATTTCGTTAGAATAATACTTACTCCTTTAGGAACCATGTATCCTCCGATAATCGTGTCTGACTGTAAACTCCTTCCATTTCCGATTATCACTGGATACATCCTAGAAGCAGTTGTAACTGAATTTTCGTTGTATGTTGCAAGTAATTTCTGTGACGTTTACTCTCAAAAATATATTATAAATCTTACAGCATTCTCCGCTGATATACACTGGTACATCTAAGCACTCAGGTGATTCTTACCATGCGGATATCGATTGATGGCAATGACAATAAATGTGTGGGAACAAAAGGAGTGCATGATGACAATAAATTCTTTGATGTCTTATTTGACTGGTGTACCCACCTGTCTTGTCACAAATTTCTGCTTGTACTTTTCCTACCAGTTACGACTCAATAGCTTGTCGCACTCGTAAACTTAGTGCACACAAAATGCACCTAGTGCGAATCACTTTGCAATAGTTTTTCTAATGGAACACGAAATTCCAGAGAAACAGGCAACTATGATCAGGAAAAGTGCGTGAAGAACGCAAAGGTGCATATCAGTAACAAACGCTTCAAAAGATTACGCAAACGATACGTGGGATTTTGGACACTAATCACATTTATTCAAAGGCTATCTTGTTCTCTCTCTGATTAATAGTTCATTATAGGACCAACCTTTCCTTATGAGGTTCTGGAAAACCCGTTTTGAGTAAGAACACTTTATCCTATCACAAGGCAAATACAACATCACGGTCAGATAAAAATCCAAAGGGCTCTGGATGTGAACACAACATGGACGTCACACTAGGGTTTAAAATACGTCCCTCTAAGGGACATCCATTGTTGCTTACACCAGAAGGAAGAAATTAGAGGGGCTAGTACCTCTATGCCTTCTGGGAGAACAGGTGCAACTGTCGGAGAAAGTCAAGTATCTGGGGGTAATACTAGACTCCAAACTGAGCTGGACCCCGCAGATCAAACGCATTAACAGGAGAGCGAAGTCAACTTTAATGTTGACCAGGCACTCTCATCGCGAAACATGGGGATTCCACGATGCACTGTACGTACATAATGGTGGTAAGACCCATGATAACTTATGCATCTTTGGTATGGTGGCCAAACATGAGACAACGCTCTGCTTTTGCAGAATTAAGTACGGCACAAAGACTTGCTTGCCTGACGATAACAGGTGCAATGAACAGCGCTCTAACTGCAGCACTTGACACCATGCTGGACCTCCCACCGATACAATATGTCATGGGGGAAGCGAGAATGGGCTACTCCAGGCTACAGTTACAGCCAAAGGGAAGTTATGAGGACCTTGGATATAATCAAATAAGGAAACATATGTGAGAAGTGACACTCGATGTGAGGAAAGACCACATAGTTCCCAGATTTTAATTCAAAAAGAACGTCGAGACCAAATCTCGACACCATCAGGACAAAGGAGCGGTCATATTGGCCAGTTCTGGATGTACAAAGCTTGACACAGTTAGGATGGGAGGCCAAAGTCAGGTGGATCTGTCTGGCAGGCACATCGCGTGAGTCATCGATCAGTCGGACAGTCCTCCTTTGGACATCATCGAGCTTAAATAATGTAGTCGGGGCGGAAGCACCCCAAACGTGTGAGCAATTCTCGAGGCTAGGCCTTATCTGGACCTCATATAGAGTGAGGTCATGCGGAGAAAAGTACTCTTAGTCCTAAACAAACAGCGTAGCTTTTTCCCAGCAGCTGCCGCTATTGACTAGATGCGTTCGTGCCAGATCAACATGTGGCCGCTAGAGGGGAAAGTAACTAAATGATTTCTAAACAAGCTCGCGAAACCGTATCTCGATATCTTGTTTCTAACCAAAAATTTAGGCCAAAGAAGGTTTTATTTATTTTTATTTTTAAACTAATTTTTCTGGAATTCTATTTTATTCATCACAATAAAATCACCATGTTTGAAAATATTACAAAATCTCGGTAAGTTAGTAATGCTAATAACAAAACATTATAATATTCTTGCACGAAAAAGATATTGCTTATGTCACAACGTAAAGTGTGTGATTACAATGAAGTTGGTCGTAACGGAATCATTATTTCATTTAATAACATGACTAAGGGATCTCATATGTTTGTAACTTTATTGTATTTATGGATCGGCAGTCCCCGATCTCTCAATATTTGCATTTGATTGGGCAGCAATTGACCGCAACGTTTATTCTCAACCAATTTAGAATGATGTATTTTGCGTGATGTAGCCAAATTTCCGCAGTTCAAAGAAATTATTTTGTACATAAAACAATAAGTCGACAAAATTACACAAACAAGTTACTAAATGTTGCGTTACAGAAACATTCAACGATTTATCTAAACCTCTTATCGTTTCAAGTACGTATAGTTCTGTAATTTTTTACATGATACAATCAGCGTGACGGCTCTTAACTATGACTCATCCTATACATTTCACAAAGGAATCCGTTAACATGTATACACACACCATTCACCTATAAGCACAAACTCGCCCAGCCTCATGGAGAATTATTGAGCTTTGGTCTCATGGATAAAAAATGAGTAACAGAAATTTTTAACCGATTTCAAAATGCCATATATCCCTTTTACCTAATAATAGAGGCATTGTAGCAAGATATCTTACCTCAATGTTTCTTTAATACAAGCTTTAAGATACGTCATTTTTTCTTGTGCTTCTGTTGTGACTTTAGAGTTTTGGTTTGGTAAGGCTTCCTTCAATTCTTCAAACAGTTTTTGCTGTTTATCCGGGTTTTGAGATAGTTGATATATTGTTGAGGCTACAGCTATCGAAGTCTGAAAGTTTTGTTTGCAAAACATGTGAATAACTTGTACCTTAGAACTAATAATTGATTCTTGTTCATTTTGATCAGTTTAAAATTAAGATACTTTAAATACTGTTATCAGTATTCTCGATTATAGCCAATAAAGATCTATTACTTACCGTATCTACTCCAACGAGAAAGAGATCTAGTGCTAATACTGCGGCTACTTTGGGATTTTGAGTTTTCATTAATATCCTTTCTACGATGGATATATTTTCTTCCTTGACATTGTCGTAATTTTTGTCCCTCATTTGGTACATACAGTGTTGAATGTACTTCAGGCACAACCTGTAGTCAATATAAACCAAATACTATTAGAATAATTCCATAGTGCAATTGACTCATGTATATTAATTATACTGAAATGAATATTTGATTTTCACTGTCTGGTGTGATACAGTTGAATATTTTATAAAATATAGTCGGTTAAGTTCTAAACACTGCGTAACTCAAAACTGTCAACTTCTTAGGAGCGCAAAAAGACGGTAGATCTTTGGATTCCTGATCGAATGCATATCCTTAAATCTTTGTCTGGCCGCGAAAACCACATAAGCTTAAAATATTGAAAACGTGTGTACAAAATGTCAGTTCGATCGATTAAGGTTAATTGGGTCAAAACTGTTTCAACATTTCAAACAGGTCAAGTTAATTAGAAGCTTGTAATTAAAATTAAATAATGTGTTTCATCTAAGTTGGTATCCATTTCCGGCGCAGCCCGAAGAGCCACCATTTTGAAAGCATTTTAGCCTAATTACTATATCTCCAAATTTTCATAATTGAAGACACAGGTGGATAAAGGTGTCATGTAACAAAATAATTGCATGGAGAAAATTGACCTTAAACACTTTTTATTGGGACTTTTTACTTTACTGACATTTTAAATATTTAGTTTAATTCGCTTGTTATTATCTTGTTTTTTGCAACAAAGTAATCACAGAATGAAATAATCACTCCTTAAGGTTAGTTCAATGCAAAAAAGCAATTTAAAAAAATTTACATAACACCTTTATCCACTTGTGTCTTCAATTGTTTAATGCCAACTTTTCAAGTAATACTCGTAGATCGCTGCAGTTTTATGTGGGACATCGTGTATTCTGAGGTACACTGAGTCATTTGTAACAGCTGTATGTTCCAATAAATGTATTTTTTTATACTCCAACTACCACGAAGGCCTAAGGCCTAAGCACCCATGGGGTACCGTGGGGCTATAGGGGGATACATGGGAAAGGGGGGGGGACGCCACACGGACTTTGGCGAGAGAACACGTGTGCATGCAACATGCACACATTCTGGCTCCGCCTACGAGATCCGCCAGGTGGCACCTCCGCGTTCGACAGTCAGAGACGGTCTACCACCTACGGACAATCACAACATCCATAGCCAAGAGAAAAATTTCTCCTGGGACGGGACTCGAACCCGCACAGCGCACGGCGACTGATCAGGAGACCGAAGAGTCTACTAATGCAGTCATTCAAAAATGTCTCGTCAAGTGTAGATGAAGAAGGTCTCCATTTATTCAGCGGATTGCTATACGTCACTCTTAGAATAATAGTAAAAATACAGAAACATCATTACCGTGTTACAATCATCTTAATTGCACATAATGCGCCATCAGTTACTTCCAAGAAGTTGCTAAATGGTGTATAATAAGATTTTATTCCGCAACCCTGAACAAAGATGCGAATGATTTGTTGTTTTGCATCATTGCTACAATACTAGAAAAATAGTCAAATGTGAATATTACCTGACAGTTGATTAATTGTTTGTTTGGTTTATCTTAAAAATCCCAATCTGCACAGCCCAGCGCATTCACCATTTTAGTAAACAGAGTGCACAAAATAGCGTGGAGTAGAGTGACTGTATTTTCCACGCAATTCTGCCAGCAATTATAGTATGTTTGATTTATTTCCAAACAAACGCCATATGAACTATGGTTAAAAATAGACCAAAACACTTGCAGGTGAGATATATGTATATCCAACGGACTCCCCTGGGCGAATCGAGGTTGATCACGATTTTTTCGGGTCTTATAGAAAATTGCGATAATGGACACTACCAGTTAGTGTAGCGAGAGTCGATATGCACTTCTCTATTCTCATAAGGCTAAAAACATATTTGAGAGTATCTATCGCCTAGCTGGACTGGTACTTCTTTACGTCCACAGTTAGATATTCTGGTTTTCGCAACGTCTTTGGTTTCAGAGTACCTGCGAAGGGCGAGGCCTCACATTCACTACACGAAGATATGCTTTTTATCTTGACTACATGAAAATCTGGTTTATGTGTTTTTCCCCAAGATGCAACCATATCCATGTGTGGCGAAAGACTATACCGTGTGTCATGGTGTCGCGATTACGAAAACTTAAAAGTGAGTGCCAGAACCAGTATGCCTGGCAACACTCATCGAATATCAACTGCAACTATAATATCTACAAGTGCAGGGATTCAGTACTGCTGGCTGAATAAAAGGGTTAACCACCTAGAGAGGACATCTAGAATACTACCGTAATACAAAACTACAACCAAAACGCTGGTCAGTTCTTTCCACCCAAAATGCTATTGCCATTTTTCACAGGGTCGTGAGAATGACGGCCGAAGAGCTTCAATTAAAGGACAAGTCACTAGGATCCACAACTTTGCTGCAGAGTTTCAGAGATGCGACATCAAAGTGGTCTAATCCAGACTTGGAAGAATGGGCGAACTATAAAGAGCATGAATACAACGAAATCCAAAATAAACCAGATTTACTCACTAAACAACAACCTAATGATCGGGATACCACTAAAACTACCTATTATATTGCAATGGGCAATCATGAAACTAATAAAACAGATGTCTAATAACACAACCACAACCTAATCTCGAAATTTAATTCGCACTTTTTATACAGATAGATCTAGGGACGGTTCAGGATGAAAATATCCAAAACTAAATTTGAAAATATTCGATGATGACGACTACATACTAAAATACAAAAATTATTCTACCTTCAAAGTTACTCGGAAGGAGAAGCTCCAAAAACTATCCAGTTAATGAGGGTAGCTGCTGAAAATTACGAAGATGCATGAAATATATTAACTTCAATATATAACAACAATCAACACAACGCATCTCCTGTTCGCATTTAACCACACTACTGGATATACAACCCATTGCCAAAAACATACCAACAGAGTTAAGAGTATTAGTGATTAACACCAAACAAGACCTTTGAAAAGCTCAGTGATGCCAGTCGAGTACTGGGATGACATTCTAATCCATATGCTTGAACAAAAACTAAATTCATCAACAAAAGACACTGGGAACTAGCCAAATACAGAGATAGGCCAGTTCTGCAACCTTTAAACGAATTATTAGCATTTTTTTAGTCCATGAGTTTTAAACTTGCTACCATGGACCAAAACCAGCCTCCTAAGTTCAATGAAAAAGAGTCTGAAGGTACGAAACCAAACCCAGAAAGAACGAATAGATACTATCATGCAAATTATGTAAAGATCCTCGCCAAATTCACAGGTGTGACAACTTTCTTTAACAGGAGAGGTTGAAATTGGAAACTGCCAAAGGATATGAACTAACTGTTTGAGAGCCTCCCATGCACCAAACGAATTTAATTCATATATTTGCAAAACTTGCCGCAAAGTTAAAACGTAACACTATAATCCAGGGTCCAGAAGAGCAATCATAGAAGTCAAGGAAGTTTTCGGTTGTCGGCAAACCTGCAGGGTTCTATTAGACTGGCAGCCAGTTCAATTTTGTGACCAGCATAGACAGACTTGTGTGGTCAGCTGGTACCAGCATATCAGGAAGCTTCCAATTGGAGCTATAATGCGAACAATCCCAGAAGTCAACACTGCAGTAAATTTGCACATTTCGTCCCGAGAAGAACGGTGCAATACAATGTGACGTTTCTTGTGTTATAAAAAATCACAACATGTGATTCATGGAATAAAACCAGAAGTGTGACTTCTGATCCCTTATTCAATATACCAGGAGCGATCAATATGTTGATTGGAGTAAAAGCATCCCTGTCTGTTAAAATCATAAACTATAGCTGATGTCCAAAACTAGGATATGCATTATCTGGAAAAATCGAGCATTGCTTCCTAAGGACTAATCAATGCGAGAATCAGTCCTTTTGTTCCCTTTTGATGAAAATAAAAAGCATAAGGATTAACTCTCGTATTGAAGCTAAAACGACGTCAACAAGGAATGTGTCTCTTTAAAAATAGATTTAAGAGAAACCTAATAGTTCTTGAAGACAAATAAAAATGCTGCTTTCAGAATCCGAAAATGTTGTACAGTATGTTAGAAAGAAAATGTTTTTGGAACAAACATTTGCGTAGATTCCGTTTGATACCTACGGTACTACACGTACAGGAATCACTTAGGTTGCATGAATGTAACAAAAAACAGGTTTACTTTTGATGCATCGAAGGTTATATTTTTGTCAAGTGATTCGAGATCTAAAAGGGTGAAAGGCGCTGGCTTAAGAGGATAAGACATTTTGTACCACGCCCTAATACTGAATACGTGGTAAATAAAGCATGTGTCTATTTATTATTGGTATATCCAATAACTTGAACTTATTTTTGGGAGTAACATTAAACAAAAATTTATTCTGCAATGACGGTGAGAAGCGGATTAGAAAATATATTATTGCATCCATCCTTTAATTAAGTCATCTGTGCTCGACATAAATACTACAGAGCATGAAAAGGTGTTCTAGATCTTTGTTACACAAACCTCCTTTCATTTGGGTGTATATGTATTATATAAGCTAGCCCAGTTCTTTGATAACTGCTTCCTGCATATTCTCTAGTTTGATTTTCTGTGTCAATGCCAAGGTACCCTTTCACTTTCTGATGAGTACGCTTTTAAGTGTTACACTCTGTGTTTACTATTCTTTTCTACTGTCTCTTTTACAGTTTGTCGAGATGGTGACTTGATTTATCTATGTTATTAATTTTTTATATAATGGTTACGGCATAACTTTTGGCTTGTTTGTTATAACATGGAATTGGTATTTGAATATTAAAGACGATGATACCGCATTCTTTCATTTATATTTCCTATATTTGGGAAATTTGTAGACAACAAAATCGTTTAATTTTTTCCTGACTTTATTTATAATGGAATTTAAAAATAAACTGCACATTAACATTGCCACTTTTACTTCTCCACAAAATGGCATAATCAGAATTTCAATATTACGTTCCATCTATTGTTCTGCAGCATCAACTTTATTTTTTAAACGTGTCATACATTGGTATTGCCAACGTTAGTTATATGAAAAAAACAGAATTTCCTAGGTAGGCATTGAAATAATCAGATAGTCATTTGTTCGGTATACCAGATATCACAAAATTATTTTTATTTTTTCCTGGCTTCACTTGAGATGCGATTTCTAAATACATTGCATGTTATCTTTGCTACTCTCCTCTGCAAGAAAGTGTGTTCAAATTTTCAATTCGAGGTCTCTTCTTTCGACTTCCATCAGCAACTTTGTTATTTCATATGGATGCTATATCGGTATTTTGTTTTTTCAAATACAAGTATGAATAAAAATATCACTTTAATTAAATATGTGACATACATGTTTATCGTGACATACATAAATGTATTATATTCATATAATCAAAATCATGAAAGTTGACTATTACGTCATACCATAAATTGTACTTTAGTAATCAATGGACGTACGTCGATGATAAAATCACGATGTTAGGAACATAATGACAACAAATTTATATTGTGATTTTGCGAAGGTTATTTCACTGATTATTTTTATTTTCATTTTATTTCATGGTTTTGAGTGATACTTTAATAATAATTTTTGTGGGGAGCTTTTGTTTTGAAAAACACAGTTATGAGTACAATACCTTAAGACAGGAACACCAAATACTCAAGTATCTTTGTCGGATACATGCAAATTAGCAATGCAGTTTGTTTAGACAATAAAATTCTGTTTGTCTCTGTCTAACATATCTGAAACTTCATTAAAAATATTCCTACAAATCGCTGTTGTTAGTCTTTGCTACAGAATAAAATGGTAAACAAATGCAAAAACGTCTAATTGAGAATTTGACTACGTACTCTTCTAGAGGAGAAAGTGGCAATACTGATATGAAATTTATTTTAAGATCCCATTTCAAATAAAGCTAGGAAATAAACCACGATTTTTCGATAAATCCGTTATAGGAAACAAATGACTGTCTGACAATTTCAAGGCCTACCTAGGAAATAACTATAGCATCTTGTAGAGGAGGAAAAGTGGCAATGTTAATGTGCAATTTATTTTCAAATCCCACTACAAAAAAAGTCAGGAAAAAATAATACGATTTTGGAAAAAATCAGTTTTTTCCGTCTCTCTCCGGAAGTACTTTGGATTTCAAAACTTTCTAAGCGTCATCTTTTTAATTAATTATTTAAGCCACTTCGTGTCTCTTACCCTACCCGAGATCCCAATGGTAAGGGTTGAATTTAAAACACCCGGTACATATTGCATATATTCTTATACGTTCTGAGTATCTAGGACTTCATTATCTACAATTCTTCTAAGCCACTTTTGTTTACAACACCCAAAAACGACAGAGACATCATTTCTACACTGAACAGCACATGGACATCAAAATTTCAAGTAGGGCTCATTGTGGAGAAGTAAGAGCTACCAAAATATACTATCTTAATAATGTTAATGCAGTTAGAATACTCACGTTCTGAAATCTTCTAAAGCTCCAATGTATTTCCTAAAAGCCTTGGTCTTGTATACTCTCCACACCGGCATTTTCAGTTCGACTTCAGCTACATTCCAGAAGAACGTGTTAATTGATTCAATAATCCTCTGAGCCTCTGAATTTTTTTCCGATGGTTCCAAGCAGCCCAGCCTTGTGTTCAAAGATACTCGAGCAACGGCTTAAAGCAAAAAACAGTTACTGTTACGTTTGCACTGAATGGCATGAAACGTATCAGTTAAAATTCCTATAATATAACTCACGGTACCAATATGGTTTAAGGTCATCACAATCTGAAAAAACATCTACTTCAAAGGAGAATAGCAAGAATGCGAGGTTTCTGGAACTCAAACCAACAGCACTAAATCATAATTACAAAATTTGAAAGGCCTTTTCATGTGGAATAAGAAACAACCTTCCGATTTTAAAAATTCATCGTTCTATCAGAGCAGTTTCTCCTTGTAGGTTAATGATTGTTAGGTTGTTTTATGTCGCTGCTACTAAAGTATTTCCACTTAGTGCATCTATCTACAGCATTTCGTAATACTGTTATTTTTAATTTGCCACCTGTTCAGGTTAAATTTTTCTTTAGCTTTTACTCGAACGTGAATGTTTTTTATGTTGCCACCCATTGGACGCAACTGAATTTCAAAGTGCGCTACTCACTTTTCGTCACTTCATCAAATGTTACATAATTTCCCGTGTATTTTTTGCATACCTGATTATTTTTCGAAAGGTGCTTCAAAGCCGATCCTTACCATTTGAATCTTGGAGAAACCAAATTTTGGAAAACTCAAAAACTCACTGCACATGTGTGTTTCTGTGTGTTCTTTCCAATAACAATGTGAAAATCGCCAAAGGCAGGAAAGACCGCATTTGCATGGGTTTTTTCAATTTTCGGCATTTTTATATTCTGGTACTCAAAAGGAAGAGAGCAGTAAGACAAATCGCACCCCTCTGCTGGCGCGGCGAGTTTTTTAATTGACAAAACTGGTGTGCGTGTATCCTGCCGTATTCAAAGAGATGCCGCGCTGGCAGTGACGTGCGACATGTTCCGCTGCTCTCTACCTTTTCGCTACCCGAGTATACAATAGGATATCATAGCCTGACTGTTTTAAAAACACTGGGCACATATGTATTTTTGTGCACTCTTCTAGGTTCTATTGTTAAAACTGGAGAAAAATTTGAGAAACCGCATCATTGCGGTTTTTATTCAATTTTTGACATTTTGGGGAACAAGTGGGAAACCCACTGCTCTATATGCGTATCTTTTACGTTCTTTCAGGCTTCATTATCAAAATCGTAATTCATTGCACGAAAAATGGTTGATTAGCGCATTTTTTCAATTTGTGATAATTTAGGGCAACACGTTTCTGATCAAGAAACGGCAGTATATCAATATTTTTTTGGTCTTGCCTTTCAGTCCGATGATAGGAAAATTGAAAATTGGATAAACTGAATTTTAATTGTTTCCTCCGCTTTTTACATGCTTTTGGGTTCTAAAGTGATATCATTGATAAAATTATTCTGCAGATGGAAAATTCAGTCTAAATGAAAATAAATCAAATCATGAAATAACGAAAATTGTCTTAGGCTCCGCTCCCATCTCAATAACAATGAATGCCTATTTACCTATCCAGATGACATACAGGGTGTCCCAGAATAACATGTTAATCTCTCGTATGTATAATATAGTACTCAAAAAGTACAATCCCCCAATTCCATATAAAAAATGTCCAAGGGGGTTACCTTTTTGTAAAAGTAGCATAACTAGCACATCTGCATTTCAAAAGGGAGTATTTGAATTTTCAATGATACAAAACAGTGTTCGAATTTAAAAATGTTTATGGTGGAATTTATGAATACCTACCCAAAATACAAAGTGATGTTATTTTAATAGACAAGAATGCAAAATTACAGAAAATTGATTAAGAAAATGTGCCACAATAGACTACAGAGTCGCAGTGGAGGATTGTTTGATGCACTCACAAAGAACCTTGGGTGTTGTAATAAGCAAGACAAAAAATAAATAAAATAAAAAGTCCCATTGCGTCAAATATTAGAAAAAGTCAAAAAGATTGTATTTGGAATACCGAATAACAGATAACATATAATTTAACTTACATTCCAATGCCCATTTGTAGATTTCATGAAGGAAGTTCCCTGGAAGTTCTCGATTTTCATCCAACATATCTTCCATCCTGAAATAAGTAATTTATCCCTATTCATCATTATAAATTCAATGTTTTAGAAACAAAATATAGAATAGGTAAATAGGAAAAACAAGTGCAACACATATGTACTCTAGTATCTCAAAACAAAACTAGTAGCAGCTTTTCGGGACTTTGAACGTCAGTACTAGCCCTGGATACAGAGTAGAAAGCTTTAGAAATAGCTAAAATTGGTTTTACAAGAAGCTAGTCCGAGTAGTAAGCAGGATGTCCTTCCAGGACGGCAACTCTCGAAAACAAGGGAGTAGAATCACCAGTAGGAAGTAGGAAGTGTTTTATTTACTTTTCTTACAGCTTTTAACGTTTGTTTTGACGATTATGAAATAAGTAAGGCCCGTATCGTCAGACGTCCCTACAATTGTAGGGCGCCTTTATGGCCTCCTTGATTGTCATAGTTTTCTACTTCTCCGTGTCAGCGCTCTATTTTGAGGTTATGTCACAAACATCTATTTGCATCAAATTGTGCTTGCTTTTGAGTTTTATCATGTTTTATTAGCCTGAAATTTCCTACAATTTAAAAGGAAAACATATCTTAACAATAGGAGAGCGCTGACGCTGACACGGGACGAGTGTATTCTAGAAATTTTTGAAGGAGAGAAAAGAATATGACAATCAAGGAGACCATAAACGCGCCCTACAAGAAATTGTAGGGACGACTGACGATACGGGCCTAAGTGTTTAAAAGCAAAGTTAACTTTGACTTTGACTTTAGAGATCAGAGTGATGGACGACGGCGGCACATATTCTCCTGACTATTTCTCTCGTCTTAATTTCTATTAATCACAGACGCGCAGTTTTGAATTACAAATTTTTTTTAGATGGAAAAATTGTCTGACAAGTTTACCCGCGGCAAAACTTGACAGCTGTTCTCACCAAAAGTTACATTATGCATGTATAATAGATAGTATGTTTTGTAAGCTTGTGTATGCAGAATAATTTATTACTCATGAAATAGTGTTGTCAAATACCATTCGGGTATCTAAGTTTTTCCTGTGAAAAAAATAGATGACGTTATGATATTACTTACTCAGAAGGTAATAGAATCACGTAAATGTTCTAATAATAAAATACAAAAGGACTTTGCTGGGTTTGCGCGCTGCCATTTTATTGAATGCGTTTTTTTATTTTTTTTAACACCCAAGGAGCTGGGCAGGCAGAAGCCTAAATGCCAGGAGACCGTGGCTGCTATGAGAATCCCAAAGAAATTTTGTTAATCTGATTTTCGAACTACTTAAGGTTAGTTGAACTGGACAAGCCTCCTCTTGTAGATTGTTCCTCAATCTCGACACCTTGGGACAAAGGAGGGGTCGTAATGACCAGTTATGGATTTGCAAAGTTTGACATGGTTATTATGGTAAGTAGAAGTTATGCGGGTCTGTCATGCGGAGAAAAGTACTTCATAGCCATAAACAAATAGCCTAGCTTTTTCCCAACAGTTGCTGCTATTGACGAGTTGTGTTCGTGCCAGATCAAGTCCTCGGTGATGTGGACTCCCAGCAGCCGGAATGAACGGCTCTTTGGCAGAACTTGGCCATCCATCGAAAATAAAAAACTGTCACCTAGGAGACATTAGTAAACTTTTATTTATACATATATGCTTTCATTTTCCAAACATAACATGACGATTGATACGGATACGCCACTACACGTGTGGAAATAAAGCAGTATTATCTACTACAACTCTATCGCTCCTCAAATTTACTAGAATCACTGCAGCTGTTGCTAGTAATACGACCAACAGAAATATTGACAGACAGACAGGTCACCGGTGATAAGTAAGCTCTAGTGAAACATATTGTTTATGTACATACCTAGAGGCGTAAAATATCTGGTTAAAAATATTTGTCTGTTGAATTATGTTTATTTACAGTTTTCCTAAAATAAAAGTTTTTTCGAAATGCTTCCATTCAAAATTACTTAATATACTATAAAATATTGTCGACCGCCTTACACGCCTGAACTTAACCTACTTAAGTTCCAATGACCAGCCAGATGCAGAATGCGGTAACATTACATAATGCGTACGGGTAACTTTTAACAGAACTGGTATACTCGAGACATACCCATATACCGTATGTTGCATTAAGTAAGCGACGGAAAAATTCGCATAAATGTGATTTTTCTATTTATGGTGGAGTTGCATAACGTGATCCAGTAACGTGAATATGTACGAATGTATGAAATAGGTAATGATTAGCTTGCGCGTTGTGGCAACGCTAACTGATTGTGAAGGATCAAATCAAAACCACATTAAATCCCGCGATCCCATAAACCACGAAGTTGCAATCATATTTTAATGAATGCAAATTTTATAGCTAATACACACGCCTATCTGCAGTCGATAAAATGAAAACCATGCCTATGCCAGTTTTGCGCTGAACATCGGAATGTGTTGAAACCAGAAATGAGCGAAGAACGAAAATACCTTGGGGTTGAGCTTAATAAGATACTATCAGCAAGATCTCATATCACCACTCGCCTGCGTAAAGCAAAAGAATTTTCCATGTTAGATCTCATAACTTGCTGTACGTAAGCAGATGTGAAGGAACAAGTGATTGATTCATTAATCGTTCTCATTTTGGACCATGGACACAGCAACTCTAACCTGTGGAAGCTGGACAGGCCCAAAATCACTCGAAGCCTGCTTGAAGAAAGCCTGTAAGGCTACTGGGAGGTTTTCACGTTGCCGTATATTAAAAAAAACTCGTGCAATGGATAGCGCTGATCTCTTGAAAAAGTGCGTACTTTTAGATATCTGTTTAACATGATAATTAGTTATTTAAACGTATGTCCTGAAAGTTTTGGCACAACATTCATTGGCATTAATTTTAACAAACAAAAAAGTATATCAAGTTGCCTTTGGAAACAAAAGTTTGTTTATTTACTTAACAGTGAGTAAATCATTTATTTATTTTGAAGATTTCGCTTCAAGATAACGTATAAATTAGAAATAAAAAAATATCTCCCAAAAAGTGGAAGGCATTTACTGCACATAGGTCGGAGAGATTGGTGAGAAGAGCAAAAAATCAGATTGGAATGTCAACAAGGAGACTGGCTCGTCAATTCAGATTTTCTAAGAGTAGGTACGTTAAAATTGAGGAGGAATGGTCTTAAATATCGACAGAGACTTAAGTGCCCCAAATACTCCCAAGCGCGACTCTTTCGTATACCAAGATGCTGTCGGCAACTGGGGCGGGTGCACTTCGCCAATGGAAAAATCATTATTTTAAATGACGAAAAGTATTTCACTTTGAGTAATTCTGAAATGAAGGAAATGGTGGATTTTATACGGCCAACGTAGAGGACAATGTTAGATACAAACATAAAGCGAAATTTGCAGATAGAATCCTTGGAACCAATAACTGGGGCCTGATTCTAAATGTGTTTCGACAGGTGAAATTTATTTCAATAGCGCCTTGTGACGACTTACTTGAATCGCCATGATAATGTGAATATAGAAGATACATATAATCAGATGTCAAAATCATCATAACGAATCAAGTATATTGTCACAAGGTGCTATCGAAATTAATTTCAACGGTCGAAACTCATTCAGAATCAGGCCCCTGGACATTCTTGCCGGCTATTTTTTGCACTTAAGTGCTGACCAAAACAGAAACTCCCGTGTTATATCCAGTAGGCGCTGTTCACTTTTGAGTAGCCCACCTGTATGTAGATTGACACCCTCTAGTGTTTAATTCAAAGAAAGCTCTTTCTCTGGTCAGCAACCAAGTGCGAAAGATGGCTGGCAATCCTTATAGTGGAGAACTTGCTATAAGGTTAATTATAGAAATATGTATTCCCATTGTCGTACATATTTATACATTCGTACACATGTGTATGTATAGTCCAGCATATTTATTTCGTGTACGCCATCTCAAATGTTGAACATCTCCCATCTCAGGATCGGACTGTCTAGTAAAAATACCAAATCGTCGACCATAGTTTGGTGCTTCTGATAAAACGAGGGATGTCCTTTAAGTTTTGCATATGGAAATAAAACAACACGGTAGGTAGTTTTAAATAGCGTTATTGTTTTTCGAAGTATTCTCCACGAAGATTATTACACATCTGCATGCGCTCGAACCAATTTTCGAAGCACTTATTCCACTCGTTTGCTGGCAGATCCAAAACGGCATTTTTGAATGAGTCAACTGCTTCTTCTGGTGACTGGAACCTTTGACTACGCAGTCTGTTTTTCATTTTCGGGAAAGTAAAGAAATCGTTGGGACTTAGATCGGGACTATATTTAGGATGGTCCAATAATTCCAGCTCGGTGATGACTTTTGGCAAACAAATGATGGTATACCAATCCGCAGTAACAGTTCTTTGCTCATTACGAGGAATTGTTGCAATATGACCCGGTTTTGACACAAATGTCGCGATTATCTTTTTCGAAACACTTCCAGAACGGATGACTTTTGTTTGCTTTTCTTCACATTGGAACACAAAACAGCCGACTGTCGTTTATTTTCTGGTTCATAACAGTAAATCCACGATTCTTCACCACTAACAATGCTGTACACATTTTTTCCGGAATTGAATCGGTCAAGCGTTTTTTGACACCAATTAACCCTGGCTGCTTTCTGCTCTTCAGTCAACAGGTGGGGTATCCAACGAGAAACTAATTTTCTTACTCCTAATTCTTCATGTAAAATTTTTTGAATTTTTGAGGTCTTCAAGGACGCCTCAATCTCCCTATATGTCACATGTCTTCAATGATGAGTTTGCGCACAGCATCGACGTTTTCCTGGGTGACTGCCGTTTTTGGTGCACCCACCCTGGGATCGCCGCTAAGACTCACCCGTCCACGTTTGAATTCTCCATACCAACGGGAAATTGTCGACTGATGTGGCGCTTCGTTGCCGAAAACAGACAGTAACTCAGCAAGGCATTCTTGTTGCGATAATTGTCTCTGAAAGTTGTAATAAATTATGGCGCGAAAATGTTCTCGGTTGAGTTCCATTTTTCTAATGACTTGGTGACACTTAAAAATTCACTGTAGTGAGAACACTGCACGTATTGTTGTGACACTTTGAATTTGGGTTTACTAAAGAGTGAGGTTAAGATTCAGTACTGACGTTCGATCCGCGCGGCCTACAATGTTTCTATATGCAAAACTTAAAAGGCATCCCTCGTACGTCGAATCAGTACAAGAGCTCACGTGTCACTATGGACATCACACGCCGCCGCTCGCCGCGCATTCAGTATAGACGCACCCTAAAGGATCCTCCACACCGACGCGGTAAGGCGATAGCGATAATCACAACACTGACGCGGTTCGTATCGCATATCGCCACGTTTTTCACGGTGTCCATGACGGAGAAATTGATTGAACAAGTTGAAAAGTTCCCAATACTGTACAATTTAAGTCTCGAAGACTATAAAATCTGCAGGAAAAATTATAGAGTGTGGGATCTCATTAAACTTCATCAAAACAATTGGAAGTCATTCGAAAGTATACGTAAAAACTGGATCTCCAGGTAATTCGATCATTAAAGTATAATATATATCCATTTCTTCTTTTTCCTTAAACACAATTATTAATTATTATTAAGTAATGATTATGAACAAAGTACTTCTTTTTCGCCTTTTATCTTCTGCTAAGGCTAATAATGATAGTAGTTCTTCTTCATCAGAAGACATATTGACTAAGAAATCAAAAAACGTTTGAGAATATTGCGCAGATAAGAAAATTGCCGGACCGCGATGGTGTGAACGTGCAGCTATCGCGCTAAATGCGATTTTTAACGCTGACGGTACCGCTATCGCTGTATCGCGTCAGTGTGGGGGAACCTTAAGGGTGTCTTACAAAGAACCACAGCGATCCTTTACTGGAAAAGTATGCGACAGGCAATTACAAAAATTTTAATATGATGGTATGAGGAATACGGGCAAAATATATAATAATGGTAACTCAAACAGAATAGAAGTAAGACATTATGAATGTTAAACTAGTTGTGTCTGATCACAGACGGCCAACCATGGGCAGCTTTTTCGTGCTCTCTAGCATGGCGGAGGCTTGGTCTCGTTGGTCAACGAACGAAAACTGAGCAACTCTATTCAGAGTATAAGGTTTAGAGAAATGAGTCATCACAAAGTCCATCTATTACCGTAATCGACTACTGCGAAAGTGAAAGCAGCAAGCTGAATGTTGGAACTGTATAGAGCTGCTCAGCTTCGTTAGTTGTCCACGAGACCAAAGCTACACCATGCTGATGAGTTGCCAAATAGCACGAAACAGCTGTCCATTGTTGGCCGTTTGTGGTCGGACGAACGACAGCTTTATTACAACTTTGTTCAATGGCGTACCTACTACATAGCACCAGAATCGCCGGCATCTAGCGGCCACGGTGGTGATCCAGCTGACAATGCGAACTGAAATACAGTTCCTACAGACAGATTGCTGCTTTCACTTTCGCAGTGGTCGATTCTGGTAATAGATGGCACTTTGTGCTCTCTTATTTCGATAAACATTATGTGTATAATAATAATTAGGTCAATTGATTTACATAAAGTATTTATCTAAGAAGCATATTGCATTCCTTTTTTATTTTTGTTGCTCGATCGGTTGTCGAAGCAAGTGAAAAACTATTGCGCGGCATGTGGAAAAATATCCATCTACACACAATTACCACACTATGTTTCTGCAAGTCGTTTGTGCTAAATCTAAATACCGTGAAGCAGTTTCGTAAGTTTGTAATTAGTGATCGTAATGAGCTACTATGGATACGAAATAGTAAACGAGATCAAACTCAAATTCATTATCATATTTACCGCACTGGTTTTCTCGGTGAATCCATACAAGTTAGGTGCTAAGGCCTCGCACTACTACCCTTATCTATTTCTAAGCGAGGGCCACCATGTCTCATTTAGATAAGACTGGTCTTTAACATTATTCGAAATATGGTTTTTGTAGGAACCATAAGATGCTTTTAAGAAACAAATTGTACAGTTCTCCTACATTTCATCTATACAGATATGTTTAGCTGAAAAAGCTATGAATGTTAAGCTGATATTGTATCCATGAAATACTCGTTACAAGAGTAGTAAGCCTTTTGTATTAGCAGAGTATTGAACTTGGACAAATAGCAGCTGGCTAAGACAATATGACGAAGAAGTTTGTTGCAAATCTGGTTAATATGTGGCTGTGGGTACGATGATACCTAAGAGTGATATAACTACTATTTGGTGATATTATAGTCATTTGGGGCAGTAACTAAGAAAGGCAATTTATGCGCGCATAACAAAATGTCCACATATATTGGAAAACTAGAGTAGATGTCTAATTTACAGCCAGAATCGTCAGCCATCTAGTGGTCACGTGATGACTGTGCTAATAAACGCGAGTTGAGAACCCTAACAGTTCCAACTAATAGCTGCTATGCGCTTTCCCCAGTGGTTGATTCTGGTGTGGTAGATGGCGCTTTGCGCTGTATTATTTCGATAGACCGTACCTCCGGTATAGAGGATAGTCGCTTTGCTTTTGTTCGTTTATCCAGAGATCAGACACTAAGCCTAGACCATGCTGATGAGTAGCCAAGAAGCACGAAACATCTGTCCATGGTTGGCTGACTGTGATCGGACGGACGAAAGCATCATGTTTAGTTTAGAATTACAATATTGATTGAATAAGAGAAAGTTGCGGAATTAAACTAATATGTACTATGTTTATGTCCTATATTATAAAGACTAAAGTGAGAAAAATGATACCTGATGCACAAAACTAAGTGTCTTAGAAATTTCCTGGGGCAAATCGCGCACATACAGTATATTCACTGAATCAAAGCAGTTACGTCACAACGTCAAATAATGACAGTGACGCCCATGGTTGCCACATTACTTAAAACTACTAGATCCTAGGAAATAAACAACAGCCGTGGGCGTAATTATCTGACACGCTTTGCGACAACATCATAACACAGAAAACTGTTACCAACATAAATCTACCCGGGGAATTCAAACTATAGGTACCAATTTACGATAGATTTTGGATTAACGTTGGCATTCAAATTTACTAAATATAACGCAACTGCTTTGTCTCTGTGAAAGAACTATACAGAGATTACGTGATTGAATCAGTCATATATGTTACTTACCGATTCAAAAAATCCGTGGCTATAAGGTCCAGTGGCTCTATGTACTTTTTTGCAGTCGCTGGTGATAGTAAAATGTGCTGCACTTGTTTTCTGAACGAATCCCATTTTGGACCGTGCCTAATTAAAAAAAGTAAAAGGAATGTATACGGTCCAAATACTATATGGTTACACATATATACAGGGTGTCATAGAATGTTGTCAGGAAAATTGAAAAGCAGAAGACTGGCCCAGCACGTTAAACATAAGAACGAACTTCATAAACATAGGTCCAGAAATGCTTCATTTCCATAATACAGGGTGAGGTGTTATAGTTGTCTGTCTTTGATAGTTATTTAAAAAAAAATAGTTTTAGATATTGAGACGAGTTTTAATGTACGTAAATGTGTCAAAGGCCGCATTGATATATACTCGTACAAAATTATTTTATAGAACACTTATATTGGTGACGTTTGTGCTCGAAAGTCTTTTATATTTAGCCGAAGAAACAATACGGTATATTATGCTGCAGGCCCGATGAAAGTCGAAGGGCTATCGAGTACTTTTTCCTACGGACCCCGAGTTTTCAGAGGCGCCCACTACTCAGAATAGTTTCCGATGCTTTGGATGAACGATTCAAGGAAAGTCCATGTTCCGGGATTCTAAGTGTTAAATGTACCTCAGAAATTAGTTAATGGAACGCAAATCTCATCAATAGTGGAATCTTATTAAATTTTCAGTGAAATTGCAATCGCTGGGCGAATATTTTACACATTGCGTGTCTCAGTTGCTACCGCTGAGCGATAGTTCAGCTTTTTATCGAGACTAAAAAGCATCATCGTTCTTGTTCAACTCAGACTCGCGTTTCAGGTTGAGCCACTATGTGCTTGAATCTGAATTAGCAAGAAGACTCGGCTTTGCTGCACTTATCAAAGATTTTGCCTTGGCTAAAGCTAGGAAGGCAATACTCGGAGTTTAATGTCAGATATTTTAAACTACTTGTAATGGTTTCAGTTTTAGCTGAATTTTTCTTGGATAGGTGCACAGGAAGAAATAGTGCGCAGTATTGCCAGAAAACAACTTTCTATTAGTTCGCTCAAAAACATGTAGCATAACTCATGTCTTCACTTGTGCTGATATACAGCATCGTGACCGGTCAGCAGGCCTACATCTGATGACGTCACGCGGCTGTCAGGCCTTGTGTTTTCGAGGGTAATTTAGTTTGGAGCTTCCAGTCTTTCTTCTTTGCGATATTGGAATTTGGTTGGGGTATGGTTATGAAGTCAGTGCATTGAGTCATCTGTCTAACCGCCAAAGTGACAGGCCGCTTTTCTTGTAGCAATGCCATGTCTTTAGGTTAGGTTGTCGCACAGAGCTTTACGGCCCGAGGCGTTCGGCATCGCGCGACCTGGCCTTAGCAGCCTCCAAGTCCACATGCATTTCATAGTTTTGTTTTCGGCGTAATCATTCGAAACTTCTCAGACTGTTGTCCGTCACCCGTATACTCTACGTTTTTCGTATTACTTACAATATTAAGACGCAAGTGAACGAACGCACTTCAACCCGTCGTGAAATTTATTTTGACATGTACACATCCCTAATCTCACGTTTTCACTACAGATATAGAGCTTTTAATTTTTGTTGTTTGATAATCTCTTCAAAAAGATTCTGTGGCGTTCAAATTTTTAGAGAGTCAGTATCTGCTTTTGGTTTTATCATGTTTTTACATAAAAATGAATTCATGACGCTCTACACGGTATAAAGTTGCCGTACGCCTTATAACGTACTATTTTGCACTTTAGGAAAAATACGTAAAATAAGTATCAGTATCTAAGAGCCAGGTTGGTCCTACTTAAAAACTGCTTCTTGGAGTTTTTCGTTATTGATAAATAGAGTTAGTTCTTTAAAAAAACTTAAATAAACACTCTTCAATCAGGATCCATAAAGCTTTGAGAAAACGATACTTATTTCTGCAAACGAAAGTGCAAGTTTTCGGACCCATGTTTACATAAACTGTTTTTATTTTCACATAATAAATTTGTCCTTGAATTTTGTTGAAATATTTGACAACACCTCGTATAAGTTCTGACTATCGTAACATTGACGTCTACTCAAACTTGATGTGTGATCTGTCCATCTCATTGTGTAGTATCATACTCTTAGCGCTGTTCTGGTATACAGGATGTATAGTTATTGATGGATAGATAAACTTAAATTTACAAGTCAAACTATCATGTTTACAGCCGTGATTTAGGATGTGCGACAGATCATCCGGACTACCAGCTTTTAAACTATATCAAGCAAGGAGAGTCTGTGGCTCAAAGACCGTATTCTTTATTAACGCAGAATCAGAAGCGAATAATCCGACTTTATATTCATATAATTCATACAGGGGTATAATTCGATAGGTAAGGAGGTTCTCTATCATCTGGCTTTTCTTGATAACTTCGCACCCTGTATTTACATTGGGAAGAGGGACAGTAATAACAAAAAATTCAATAAAATACTATGTGTATAAAAAATGTAATGGAATAACATACACTACATAAAAAACTCATTAACCTGGTTATTTGAAAACTTGATTACCTGAAGCCTGCCGTAAACATCAGCGACCTCAAGTATCACTAAAACTATTGCACAAGCATAGACTGGTGCAAAAAGCTAAATTAACATATCTAATAAACCGCGATACAACTGAAATAATCTGAGATCAAGTTCAAGTATACACAAAACGCTGATTGAATTTAGTATTATATTAATCATTCATACTATATTTTAAATTCAGTGGTTTGCATTAAAAACATTGTTTATTGCATATAATGAATGTGAGTGCTATTTTGGTCAGCTAGATGATTTGTCAACTTTCTGTCTAACGAGAATTTGTAATGTTTGGACAGCATTAGTTTAAATATGGAAGGTAAATAATTTGTATCAATATCTGTTAATATGACAAACACACACTATTATGTAAGTCGGATGCCCTCGCATATTTCCGATAATAGAACGCCTTCATTCTTCTCAACGTTTCAAACAGCAAGAACAGCTATAACACGCAATTTGGGAAGTCTGAGTTGTCATATAGAATAAGCATCACGCTGTTCCTCAGTTGAGGTGAACGTTGCTTTTGGAGTTTTGTTTATCAGGCAACGAACAGCTGAATATATCTAGAAGCTGGTGACAATTTAAGAATCTATTTAATCGGGAATAGTCATGAGAGTCTTGTTATGGGAGAATATTAACCTACAATCCTACAATCACGAGTACCATCTGCTGAGGTAACGGGGGGGTGAAAAGGAAACAGGGGTGGGCAGGTCTTTGACGGTTGTCGGCGCTACTTTAAAAGAGGAAAGGATGACTGCAGGTGCGTACCCAGGTAAATTTTTATAATAACAGAGTCGGATTTCGATTAGCGATCTAGCCTGTAAATCGTTTCCTATTTTGACACTCAGCAAGTGATCATTTAGTATTGTTCTACCCTGGTTACTGTTCGTCGATATTGTGTTGTTGAATTGTTGTGCTGTACTCTTGTTGGTGTTATTGTTCTTGAGTGCCTTTTTTATCAAGGTTGATAATGGACAATAAAAGGTCATATGCGACAATTTTAATTACGAATGCAGTGAGTTTAATTCATGATGAGGACAACAATAGTGTGGAGCAGTTCAACTCTATAATCGCAAAATACATTGGAGTAAGCGAATAAATTATTGCAAGAAGAGGTCATACTATGGAAAATGTGCTGCAGCTGTAGTGAGCTACAATACCGAGCGGCCTGTCTATGTGGTCCAAATTCATTTGCGTGTTGAGCTTAGTCCAACCTCGCTTATCACTAACATGGAACAAAGACTCAAACGCAAGAATCTTGAATAGAAACTTAGGCCAAAAAAAGCTGATATAAAAATAACTAACAATTCGGATAGCAATTCCAAAGAAAATGAATAGTTTTATGGCGAATTCAGTCAAAAACCTGACATTAACTACATTGATTTGGAGGTTGCTAATTGAACATTTTTAGGAAAACTTAAAAAAAGTGACGATGAGATTTTGCAGATCGAACAAGTCACCAAATCACAGGACTGTACTTTGTGGCGCCTCAATCGGAGGATAAGGTTGACAGCGTCTCGATTTGGTGAAGTTTGTATAAGAAGACAGACGACAAGCTGTAAAGTTCTAGTAAACTCCATCATACACCCAACAGAGTTTTCTAGTAAGGTAATAAAAAAAGGCAATACAAAAATCATTGGACATGGCAGTTCAATCTTGTGGTTTGTTTATTGATCGCACACATCTATTTCTGGCTGCATCACCTCCATCTACCTATTACAGTATACAAGACATGTACTTAATCCAGGTATAAGCCTACCTATTTATTGCTTTGCAAAAACTACCTAACTGTTTCCTCTTGTTTTGACTGCATAAGATATTTTTATGACCCTCGTTCAATTGTTACCATCTACCACATGACCCTTGTAAAGATAATTTTGTTTATTGACATGAATAAACGAATTTAAATTTGAGTTCTTGAATTTATTTTAGGAAAGATATAAAATTATTTGAATACATTTTTTCTTAGTCGGAACGCACCGTCACGACGTTTAATTTTTATTATTTCCAAATGAAACTCTTGCAGCGTGCTAAAGACAAAGTCCACAGTGTGCCAGCGATCCACTTTTTCGATTTTATCCACTAGGATCTGTTTAAAATATCAAGAAGTTGAGCACAAATAGTAAGCATTTCAACCCACCATAATTCTTGCGCATATACAAAATTTTGTAAAAACCTCTGATAGCACCCTAGGCAATTATGTCCTGCTTATATCCAGAAAAACATCACAAACTGCAGAACACAAATTGAAGGTAACGGCGAAATGGGTACATTTCACGGGTCATGAAATTCATCAAAATGAAGGTATAAAATCTACCAAATTATCATTCTCAAGAACATATTTACTTGACATATCGATAATTTTAAAGTTCCTCACTAAATTCCCCTATACTTGACTGGAGTGATATCCGAATTTATTCTTCCCTACTGTTGGTAGTTGCAGATCTGTTGGCTCTTGATGTCAAACCTATAGATCAGATACCGATTTTTTTCATATCGTGAGCACTTCTGCGTCGGATTTTCGTTACTTAAGTTTCCTGTAATCACTGGGATCAAAAGCTTCTTAATAATAGAACGTGTTTCACTGATTTCAACCTCCCCTTTTTAAGCAGTACAATTTTTTTATGTCAATGATTAGGAATCCCTGAAACGTCAAAAACGGAGTTTCAGCAATTGTTACTTTTTCTTTTTTGCCTATAGCACCGTTGCCAGTGGAGTAGAACTACAAAGCTTTGGCAGTGTGGAAATTTCATAAAAATCCGGGCGGTAATTTCCAAGTTGATGGTGAGTGATACAGTTTTTCGTGATGTAGATGCCATATGACTAAAAAAAACATAACATCTCATTTTAGAAATTTTTCGCGATTACAATACTTCCTCGCCAATGGCGTGGGAAGTAAAACGGCTTTAAAATCGAGGAGTATCAGCGATCGCGATTATGAGTACCTATTTGCAGAACGAGTTATCTACGAGATATTATATGAAATAGGGCCACCAAATTATCTGGGCCGTACATTGCGCGCAACGCTTGTGTTGGCAGCACGAAACAGTAGACAAAATTCTTCCAAAATACGATTTGTAGAGGTTTGCGCGCTTCGGAATTGACGCTTTATTTTTTGATATTTTTGGAGGAAATTTTCACAGTGTGCTGAAAACAAAACCCCACAGGCTGTTATAGAGCCACTTTTTCATTTTTTTCACTAGGTTCTTTTTAAAAAAATCGCGAAGTTGAACAGAAAAAGTGCGCACTTCAACCCAACATAAAACTTGTGCAAAAACAAAATTTCAAAAAGTACTCCTATAGAACCCTGGGCAATTATCTTCTCAACATACCGCATGAATTTGATTGAAAAATATTGAAAAATGGAGTGTCAGTTTTGAAGCAGTTGAACCCTTGTCAATGGCTTAAAACTCACTGCGTCGGAGCCGCCTTAATACCAACCATTTAGACTTTTCAAAGTAATTTACCCCGTTTCTTATATAATTCTTGAGCGCTAACTGCTTAGGAAACTTGCGCCTCTACCTAGACTTAAGTATTTACAGGAGCCCAAACTAGTCATTGTATTGCTACCCACTCCCCTAAAATATTTTTTTGCACGCGTACTAACGAATAAACAGGTCCAGTTAAATGAAAGCTTGTAAAAAGACTATCATCCTGCTTGAAAGTAGTAGCAGTATTTTCTGAAGAATCAAGTAGACCTGATAATCCGGTTGTTAATTCCAAAATAGATTTTTTTGTATAATTGGTAAATGTGGAAATATCTTCTGGACTCTTGAATTTCTTATTAAACATAATACAGTGAAAGCTCTCCTTGCGGACAGTTCCTATAAGCGGACATCTCTTTTAACCGCACAAAGTTCCTGGAACCGAATTTCAGTAATCAATTTTCAATGTTAAATGCATTCCGATAAACGGACGCTCTTATAAACGGACGCGGACACTAGATTTTCCTGTATGTGATCAAAAAATCTCCCATAAGCGGACGCGAAACTCTAATACCCGGACGATTTTTTAGTTCCGCTTATTGCAATGCACATATCTACATACATAAAATTCGGTAATTCCCCGATTTATATTAGGTGATTCCCCATTTACGCATTTCGTTGGGTAGCCTGTATGTAATCTTGTGGCTTGTCTTCAGTTCAGGCAAATTCGTAGTTGATTGAGTTACGTACCTATTTATTATTGTAACTGTAAAATGGCACCAAAAAAAAGGATGCTCTCGTTAAAGGAAAAGATGGAAGTTGTTAACGTATTAGACAGAGAAAGTGTTTCAGTTCGTCATTTGGCAAAGAGGTTTAATATTGGGAAAACGCAAGCAGCTGAAATTGCCAAAAATAAGGAAGATATCAGGAGTAAATGGCAATCAGGAACTAATATAAATCAAAAGAAGGATTTTTTAAAAAAGGAAGGTTTTGCTATAGACAAAACATGTTTTGAGTGGTTTGTGAAAGCTAGAAGTCAGAACATTCCAATCTCAGGGCCGTTAGTGAAAATGAAAGCTAAAGAAATCGCCACTACTTTGGGCTATAATAATTTCAGTGCGTCCGACGGGTGGCTGCAAAAGTGGCGCAAGAGACATAGTGTGAGTTTCAAATGCATATCTGGCGAAGCTGCTGCAGTAGATCAAGTTGATGTGTCACAATTTTTGGAGAATCTTCCGTCCATGTTGCTTGGCTACAAACCAGAAGATGTGTACAACGCAGATGAGAGTGGACTTTTTTTCGCGCATTGCCCGACAAAACTCTGTCCTTTAAAGGAGAAACATGTGTGGGTGGAAAGTTGTCTAAAGATAGACTAACCATTTTATTCTGTGCAAATATGGCCGGTGAAAAATGCGATTTGATTGTGATCGGGAAAGCGGCTCGTCCCCGTGCTTTAAAAAACGTTGCTATTAAGGATCTACCAGCGACTTGGAAATCCAACAAAAAGGCATGGATGACCCGAGAAATCATGTCTGAGTGGTTAGTCGAATTCGACCGGAAAATGAGAATCCAAAAAAGGCAAGTTCTTTTATTTTTAGACAATGCATGCTCTCATCCTCGTGATATGAAAATGAAAAATGTGAAAATTATATTTTTACCGCCAAACACAACTTCTGTTTGTCAGCCCATGGATCAAGGTGTCATACAGAACTTTAAATTTTATTATCGGCACTTGATTTTAAAACATATTTTAACAAAAATTGACGATGGTCAAAGCTTATCTGAGCTTACAAAGTCTATCAATGTGTTAGAAGCTTTGTATTTTATAAAAACAGCATGGAATAAAGTAAATTCCTCTACAATTAAAAACTGTTTTGGCAAAGCTGGATTCAGAAAAAGTGAATGTAGCTCAGAATTTGCTGAGCAAAATTATTGCGATGCTGAAGACGATCTGCCCTTAGCGACACCTCAGTTACTGCGACATGCCAAACATTTAGGAGTAGCAGATCCCCAGAAAGTAGATGATTTCCTGGCCATAGACAATAACATAACAACAGAAGAAAATGCCATTGGCAACTTTTCGAATTTGGATGTAGAAAGCCCAGACCAACTTGAATATGGTAGTCCAAACGACTCAGAAGAAGAAGTGGAACTGGTGGACTCACTAAGCGGTTCAAAAACGATAAATTCATATGGGGAAGCTCTAAATCATATTTCTATATTGAAAAAATTTGCTAAAGATGATTTCACTGCATTTCAACATTTGAAAAATTTAGAAAGTTATTACGAAAATTGTCTCCTTCAGCAAAAGATGGTGAAATTTCGTCAGACAAACATTTTAAACTTTTTTCAACAAGCTAAAGAATAATGTTTTTTTAAAATTCTCGTACCATGTATTGAAGCATTTATGTTTTTGTATGCGTATATGTACATACATATATTATATAGATATATAGCATAAATACATACTTTAAAAATGTGGCGAGTTTCTGTTTCATTTTTCTCATGATTATAATACCTCATTTCCTCATGATTATATACCCCGTTATTTATACTCTATACTTACATACTCTCTTTTAAACGGACACCTCCCATAAGCGGACAAAAGTTACGGAACCGTGAGTGTCCGCTTATGGGAGCTTTCACTGTATATGAGATTCGACAGGTATTGACGTTCTCTATCTTTTGTTGATCCACCCATAACTTTACACCTTGTATATTCTATTGTGGTGTTTGCTGTATTAGCAGAGTTTAAAAAGTTAAAATAAATAGTAGTAGAATTATCGAGAGCTTACACTAAAACAACGCTATAGGAAAAAATTATACTTACACTCCAATAACTCCTTCGTTCCCGTGAAAGAAGTCTTTTTGCAAATGTTGCTTGTAATAGTGCAGGGAGGGCATCGATGGTCTATGTGGCATGGTCTCCTCCATTTTGAAGACTCTCTTGATGTCGTCACCATCAAATACGAATAATAAGTCTGGATGCCCTATCAGTCCTCCTACTTTGACTATTTTTCCATATTGGTGATAAAGGGAGATCATCACCTTGTCGAGCTCATGGATTTTGAAATGACCTGTTTTAAAATCACAAGTTAAAAATGGCGTCAGGGAGGTTAACCCTGCACTTCCTACATCAGTGCGCTCAGCGCAATTTAAATCCACTGAGGAAAAAGTCAGTTAAGAACGTGTACAACAGAGAAATTAAACAGTTGGTCAAACAGGCCTATACAGTTGGTCCATGGACATTCTTTCCCTACACTACTGGTAGTCACTGTCCATCTGGCAACGTTGTCACTTTCCACATCTGCGCAGCAGCGAGTTATCGTTCATTTCGTGCGTGGTCGATACATGTTTTTTGCGCTACAGTACGCATAGATTAGTCAGCCAGAGCGGCTCGCTGGACTTTTAGCGGATCGAAAAGATTTCTCATACGTGAAATATTGCTAAAAGGTGCATAGAATTGCCGGGGTTGGAAGCGAATAAATATATTATAAAAAAAAATTTATACACCAACTGCCAACCCCCGAATGAAACGTCAAAAAATTTTTTTTTGCTTTTTTCTCTGCCGACACTGGACCGATATACTGCAAAGCTTTTTCGTCTTTGGTATACTAGAAACCTTGTATGTAAAAGTCATCGAAATCTGAGCAGTACTTCTCGAGTTAGGCCAAAGATTATCGGACAGACAAGCGGACAAACAGACGAACCGATGGAAATGATTGACATGGTTTTACGTGATGTACACACCCAGTGCCGTAGGAAGTGAAAAGATTGGTCTATTGGCAAATCTATATTCATTGTTTTATTCAAAACAATCTTGAATCAAAGGGTGCGGCAGAGGGGATGGACGGTTTTAAAAAAATCATAAAATAGTTAATTTTTACTCGAAAACAAATTTATTGATGGAATCAGGTTCACAAGGAAATAGCATTTGAGACAGTCAAGTGTGGAAAATCACATCAGGCATGTGGTGGCCGAAATCATTGATGCAGTGCTGGAGGCGTTCTTGGAAGTCCGCGTAGACTCTCTCCAACATCGCTCTCTCAACTTGGGCGACTTCCACGCGAATTTCGCCCTTCAATTCGTCCAGAGTTCGGGGTTTGTTCGCGTATACTCTAGCCTTGAGGTGTCCCCATAAGAAAAAATCGCATATGGATAAATCTGGGGACCGAGGAGGCCAATGAACATTGCCAAACCTGCAAATAAGGCGACCAGGGAAGAGAGGGCGAATAACGTCCATGGATGCACGGGCTGTGTAGGCGGTCGCCCCATCCTGCTGGAACCATACACGTCGGATTGGAACACGTCGCCGTCGTAATTCAGGGAGAAAGAAGTTGGTGATCATGTCGACGTAGCGCTCTGAGTTCACGGTAACATCACGACCATTACCGTCTTCGAAGAAGTAAGGGCCAATGATGCAAGTTTGCGATACAGCGCACTAAACCGTTATTTTTGGGCTGTGCAGCGGTCTTTCGTGTAACTGTTGCGGATTTTCATTAGCCCAATAACGACAATTCTGCTGGTTAACCATGCTGTTTAGGTGAAAGTGGGCTTCGTCACGCATAAACAAAATGAGGTTCTCATTTTGATCGATCAGTGCTTCCATCTCACGTCCGAAGTTCATTCGTTGTGTGCATAATCTCCGGGCTGTAACTGTTGCACAATCGCCAATTTGTAGGGGTGAAAGCGGTTTTATTCTGTATATATTTAACGATCAAAAATGGGCCAAGTTGATCTTTTTTTAATGATTTTTACAAAACTCAAAATTGACAAATGTACGTTTTTAAAGTTAGACAAAAAATGGCACAATTCTGTAAGCATCACGTGGAAATCATGTTTTTTACACCTTCTATAATCATGAATTAAAAGTCTTAGAATTGCACAAAGAATTATCCATTGAATCTTTGCGCTATGTTTTGGAACTCTATTCATTTCTCACCTATGATAGGAGCAAACCTCCAAGCATTCCCAATAATTGGCAGCTCCTTTGGTCCTGGAATTTCCGAGTAATCTTTTGCAACAGCTCCAGCTTTCTCCTTATTATACTGGAAGACATCCTCGCTGGCAGCGATGTCAACGACACTTAAGGATGTTGAGTATGGACGATCAGTCGAGTAATGTCGTTTCAGGATCCGGAAGAACCTTGGTGTTAGCAGACTTTTGGTAGTCATCTTGGTAGCCTGGATCGAAAAACATGCTATAAATGCTTCTGCCACCAGAAATTCGTCCACGAGGCAAACCGCTAGATCAATTATAGGTACAGAGCTTACTACTTATTTTTCGAACGGATCATGTTAGCAAGCTGAGATTTGGCGTGATGAAATTGACACAAGAATACTATATTTAAACTCAACAGTTCAAAAGGACCCCACACAAAACAAATGGAAAATGAGTCCCAGTAGATATGTCTGAAAATTCACATGTTATACTCCTCGTCTTCCCAAACAAAACTTTTCATTAGACTAAAGAAATCCTGATTAGTTTTTGAGAAACATGGAGATGAAGATTGCCCGATTGGTACTTTTAATTTCTTGGATATATACAAGGTGTCCCAGAATTCGACGTCAAGCCGGAAGCGGTGGATAGGCCCAGTCATAATAGTTATCAGAAAAATCTAAGAGAAATATGACATGATCTATTATGTAAAAAACCTATAAAACGTAAAAAAAACAATAAAATGTCACCTTGCTGACTAGTTAGTTTTTATGGTGCAAATAGTCCATTCCACGTTTGTCCGCTATGATCGCTGTGAGCGTCCATCTATGGACGAATGACTCAACTACACGCATTGTTGGTTTCAGAAAGCATGTTTGTATATGTTTTGTGAAGCCAAGTATTCTGTAGTGTTTATCTATGAGATGTGAAAGAAAGAAATTTGGTTGAATAGCGGGATCCCATCTGGATGATTATGTGTAATGGTCTACGTGTACATGTGTATAAAATTAGTGATATTTGCTGTGTGAGAAAATTATTACTGAATAAGCTGCCAATGAAGTACATATATCTATTAGCTGTGTCCGAATATGTTGTCCTTTCTGAAGGCAGATTATGTTCAATTACGATTTTTCCGATACACTACAAAATAATGAATTAATAAAAGTGGAGCTACTATATGTCTTGCTGTCACTACGTAGAATGACACTGTCCGTCACTCCGACTAAGAAAAACTTAAATTTTGTGGCGATGGGGACTAAAATATCGTCACAGGGTGTAGACTGTTCCGATTTGTCCTGTGTCCTCTTTCAAGTTGTCTACGGTTCCGCGTTTATTTTTCGGTTTTGAAATTTTCCGAACATAGTTTTTCACATTTGTTCACTATCTTTTAACCATAAAAAAGGTGAAAGATAAACGCCGAAACGTTGGCAACTTGAAAAGGGACACTTTTCAACACCTCTTTATTCTAGGGACCCGAAAATAATAAAAGTACATAACAGACAATAAACTTATTTCGTTTGTCCGACTTCTAAAAATGGTGAATGCGTCGATTGTAGTTCTGAGATCAAAAACTCACTAAACTGAATGGAATATTTTATCAGAAACCTTGTAGGAATGTGTTGAGAGGTATCATATTAATCTTGACCAAGATTCTTACAAGGTCAAGTTTATTTTTATAGGTTGGTGCTCAAATGTGTGGTTCGAGAACTCAAAAAAATTCTGTCAAAAGAACAGTTTGCCTCACAACGACACTGAAAAGTCGTGGTTTGTCTGTCTTCGATTATGACCGTTAACAGATTAACTGAAGGGCATGTTGATTTTGAAGGCGAAAGGTAAAGAAAGAGCGCAACAATGTGAACATAGCTTTAGAGAATTAATTATTAATAATTTAAGTTTTCTTGTTTTGGTCTGCTTCCGGCTTATCGAACCTTTTTGAGTTAACTTTTTCGAAGTACAGGGTGCGGCAGAGGATGGAGGGTTTTAAAAAAATCATAAAATAGTTAATTTTTACTCGAAAACAAATTTATTGATGGAATCAGGTTCACAAGGAAATAGCATTTGAGACAGTCAAGTGTGGAAAATCACATCAGGCATGTGGTGGCCGAAATCGTTGATGCAGTGCTGGAGGCGTTCTTGGAAAGTCGGGTAGACTCTCTCCAACATCGCTCTCTCAACTTGGGCGACTTCCACGCGAATTTCGCCCTTCAATTCGTCCAGAGTTCGGGGTTCGTTCGCGTATACTCTAGCCTTGAGGTGTCCCCATAAGAAAAAATCGCATATGGATAAATCTGGGGACCGAGGAGGCCAATGAACATCGCCAAACCTGGAAATAAGGCGACCAGGGAAGAGAGTTCGTAATTCAGGGAGAAAGAAATTGGTGATCATGTCGACGTAGCGCTCTGAGTTCACGGTAACATCACGACCATTACCGTCTTCGAAAAAGTAAGGGCCAATGATGCAAGTTTGAGATACAGCGCACCAAACCGTTACTTTTGGGCTGTGCAGCGGTCTTCAGTGTAACTTTTGCGGATTTTCATTAGCCCAATAACGACAATTCTGCTGATTAACGATGCTGTTTAGGTGAAACTGAGCTTCGTCACTCATAAACAAAATGAGGTTCTCATGTTGATTGACCAGTGCTTCCATCTCACGTGCGAAGTTCATTCGTTGTGCATAATCTCCGGGCTGTAACTGTTGCACAATCGCCAATTTGTAGAGGTGAAAGCGGAGATCCATATGCAAAATTCGCCTTACCGAACGATCACTAAGGCGAAGTGCAGCAGCATGTTTCCGGGCAGATCGAGACGGACTGCGAAGAAAGACCTGTCGAACGCGCTCAACATTTTCAGGAGTTCGAACTGTTCGCGGCGCTCCTCTTGGTCTTCTGTTGATCAGTTCACCACGCCTGCGAAGTGATTCAACCCAACGAAGGATGGTTTCGAGAGGGAACAGCTCTATTCCGATGAATGTTGAAGTGGCGACGAAACTCACGCTGTACGACGATGACTGACTCATTATTTCGGACGAAACAATTATAGGCGAAAACGCGGTGCTCCACCGTCCAAGGCTCCATAACGACAACTGGTAAAATAATGCTAGGATCTCGCGCAGTGATGCCACCGGCCAGTAAAGGAATTATGGTACGATGTTGCCAGAATTATCAATTTTTCTTCAAAATTATGTTACAAATAGTGTTCCTTTAAGACAAAAAATACACATAATTAATATAGGTTCTTTAATGTAAAAATCTCATAAAAAATGGAACATTTGGGAAAATCAAACAAACTCTCGAAAAATACCTAACTCGAAAACATAAAAAACATTATTCAGGTTCAAAATGAGTATCAACAGTTTCATTTTCATCTTGAGCGACATGTTTATAGGACGTTATTCTATTAATCATATTTTGAGTAACATTAAACTTATAACATTCACGATTTACAGTTTGAGATGCCAATAAAAGTGAATTTACTTTATCACTGTACAAGCGATTTCGGACATCTGTTTTGATTAAATTTATTTTTGAAAACATTCTTTCGCATACGGCATTTGAATGAGGAATTACTAATAAATCTAATACAAAATTTCCCAATTCTTTAAATACGTAAACATCAGACATGTCGTGAATTTGCGAGATTTTGTACCAGTATTTATCGATTGATGTTTCATCCTTTATTTCATCACTGAAATTTGGTTCTGACTGGCAATACATCCGCCACTGATCATCAATTTTTTGTATTTGTTCAATATCTTGAGGATCTACAATTCTGGGTAGTAACTTAATTAATGGAAAAAGCGATGCTGGTTTTGGTTTAGAATACCCTTTTTCAAAAACTGATATTTTTGACAAAATATTTTCATTAAAATCAAACCGTTTTTTCATTTCATTTGCAGAAGTTATTAAAAATTGACGGCGCCGCATGTAGAAATCTTCTTTTTCCTTTTGACTTAATTTATCAATGTTCTGAAGTACGCGAACACCAAGGTATATCTGTTTCAAGTCAATGAACTGACTAGCATTTTTGGGATCGATTTTACCTATTTCGGTTTTATGAATATAATTTGGTTGTAAATAGCTTAAACAAATTTCTTCATAAGTTTCACAAACTACATCATAAACGTGTGCAATTATGAAACGCTCACTTTGAAAGTATTCATTTAATTTTACAAATTTTGGTAAAATCCAATGAAGAAAAAAGAAAAAAAGTTTTGTTTCCATATCATTAAGTCTATTGGCAACAACTTCTGAAGCTTGAAGTCTATGTTCGGTCCATTCTTTAACAAAATATAATTGAAGGGGATTCCATTGCTCAGTTATCCTTTCCACTACCATAAGTAATGAAAGCCACCTAGCTTGTGAAGGACGTAAAATTTTGTGAGGCTCCACATTACAAAATGTCTGAAATTCTGTAAATTGTGCTTGCCGTTTGGAGCTATTTTTAAAGTAACCAAAAATATTCCTGGTTAAATCTTCACAATCACGGGGCAAAACTTTACAAGCCTCACTGGCACAAAGATGTAAAGAGTGGCAGATGCATTTTTGAACTATAATGCCAGGAAGATTTAGTTTTAACCTACTTACTACTGAGTTATTGGCACCAAACATAGTGTTACAACCATCAGAACCAAATCCTATAATATTTTGGAAAGGTATATTGTTACACTCAAATAAATCCATAATTTTTTTATAAAGAACTTCTGCAGTCGCCTCTGTATTTGCTTCATCTGGATTTTGATTTGAAAAACATTGAATTTTGTAGTTACCTCATTTGTTTTTTCACTAAAGTACCTAACACATACACATATATCTTTTACTACACCTATGTCTGTAGATTCATCTACTAAAATACTAAACTTTTTTGCTTTTAGTTCTTCGATTAGTTCTTCAAAATGAGATTTGGCTAAAACATGTTTTATAACACCTGTTGCTTTGGTTCTTCCCATCTGCATTCATTGGGCAATTTTCGAGTCAGGAAATATGTCTTTTAATACAGGAATCAGATGATCACACAGCTTGATGGGTAGATTATGCTCTGATATTAATGCAGCAATTTTTATTTCTGCCCTACTCACTTGACCACTAGCTTCGTTTTTATTAGAAAACATAGTAGAAATTTTTGGTTGATTTTTCACCTTTACATTTTTTAAATGTTTAGCTCCCTTACTGTGATTTTTCAATACAGTTAAATCTGCTTGAATTTCACTATCACAAGCAATACATTTTGCTCGAGTGGGTTTTTCTAAAAACAAAAATGCATATCATTAAAAGTATAAAATGGTTTTATGTTATTTTTTCTACCTTTAACAGCTTTCAACCATCCTTTGAAATGAGGATTGCTTTCCCATTCACATCTATATTTTTGTGGTCTATTTTCTCGTCTGTTTACGTTTTTAAACTTTAATCTTTTTGCCTCCCTTTCTGAATCCGAAGAATCGGAGTAATCATGATGATCCCCTTTGCTGGTACTGGCCATTTTATTTCACTATTTGATCACATCAACACACATTAATAAGGACTCATGCGATCAACTACTCTTGCTCGTATTGAAAAAGAAACAATGACGATTAGAGTATTCCCCTGCGTAGGCTCAAATTCACCGAGACTCGAGTTCCGTAATATTTACATAGATGGCGGTAGGCTTGATTTTTATTCTAATTCCATAATAACCATGCTATTAACTGAAAGAGGTCAGCACTAATAATTATTATCCTTTTTGTTACGTTGCTTTGGTTGCATACAATTAGAACCAATAATTTTGGAAACATAGTTATAGGCTGGGAGATGGAAAATAATATGTTACAATTATCGATTATGTTACATCTTTTTATTTACTGTATATTTCAGTAGAAAATATGGTACAATTTGATAATTATGTTACAAGTGGCAACACTGATCTCGCGCGTCAAACGGCACCCTCCCCACCTTTCTCGTAGACGGAGGCGGAGAGTACTACCCATCCCAAAAACGTCCGTCCTCTCTGCTGCACCCTGTATTACAAATTCCTGCTTCATGGAGAGCATGTCAAAGTAATGTGCCTAGGGTTCGGGCACCCATTAATTACTGCATGTTCATCAGGTAAATCCTCGTTATTTTCATAATCTTATCGATAAGACATTCATAGTTGATATTTTATTCGGTTTCTGCAACATGAGTTCTACTTCGTCTAACCCTAGACCGATGTTTGTCTCTTGCGCCGACACTATCAGCTGATATGCTAATGTACCTTTCATAATATTCGGATGATGCTATATATATCTATAAAAGCATTGGCTAATTCATGTTCGATGCAAGCTGTATTTAAATGATTTGCCCAAGAAATTTAAAAATCCAGCAAGGACATCGTGTTTTTGATGTGTCGAAGTACTATTAATCGCGTTTAAGAGTCATGAAAAATGCAAATGCAGCACTTGTAGTCCTTGTATATTAATTATCAATTTCATGAACATAAACTTCATAGATTTGATTGATAGTTTGGAAAGGGCTGCCGAAGCAACGGAAACGTTAGTAAACCAGTCCTTTCAATATCTGTGGTTGCACTTACTGGCGAGTATAAGGGAGATGGATCAGCATGACCTTGATTTACTCTTGTGCATAGTCAATGACGAGGAAACAACCACCAACTTCCGTGCCAGATCTATTCCAGCATTAACATCTAAAAATCAAATTGCTCTTAAATTGACCTTGTAAGGATGAAGGACAAGATCAATATGACACCATCCATCACCATGTTACAAGGTGTTTCAATTGAATATTTCACTCAGTATACCGAATCTTCGAGTTTTCGGTTTGAGGACTAGCATGTGCACATTCACCATTTTTTACAAATCGGACAAAAGTAACCCTTCTATTTTTCAAAGACTAATAGATAGATAGACATTTATTTCCAACAGATACATGTGCACCTAATAACAGGAAATGCGTAAAATCAAATGAACATTTCGTTTTATGTAAAAGAAAAAATATAACTAATGTTATATAAAAATAAACACTTGAATAATATAAAAAAGATATTTCGAAAAAGTACTATGCTTGATATTTTTCTTCCTATTTGGATTTCAATGTCTTATGCATTGATACAAAGTCTTCTACGACGATTTGAGAATCTATATATGAAATTTTGAAGCGTCTGTCTAATAGATCAGTATTATTACTAAAAAATCTAAACTCCAGCAAACTTGACTTCATCTTTTTTTGGTTTTTGATGATTTTGGAGAAAATCAAAAATTTCTTTAGAGGGGACAAAATTTAAAAAAGTCAAATTTGGTTATTTGATTTATTTTAAGACGTAGACAAGAGTTGATATCAAAAATTTAAAGTTTGTGAAATCCAGCAAAACTCGTTTTTCAATTTCTAATCATCCAGTCACTGTAGTGTAATTCCAAACACAACAAGAGGTATGTAATTCGAAAATGTGTGGGGTGAAATTCGAGTAGAAAAATCGGGAAACTGCTGTTTCAATATGTTATCTAGACCCGCTACAATACTTATTTGATCAGGCTAACTGGCCAAAAGTGAACCCTGCTCTAGAAAAAGTTGTATAGGATTTTTTCCAAAATCGTTTTTAATTCATTCTGAATTTATTTGATAGGATTTCAAAATAAACTGCACATTAACATTGCCACTTTTTGAAGGTGGCATAAATAGAATATCAATATGATTTTCCGAATTTTATCCTTCGTATTGTAATACTATGATTATTTCAAAAAACGAATTTTCCTGAGTAAGCCTTAAAATTATCATATACGAGCCCCTTCCCACTTCAGTTGGCCCACTTCAAGATTTGTACCAAAATATGCCTTTATAAACTAAACATGACGAAACTATTTACTTCTAAAACAATTTATTTTCTCAAAAACATTTTAGATACACTCTAGTCGTAAAAAATACATATTTGAAATCACTTAGACCTATAACTAATAGAACATCTGAACAAATAAACAATGTGCGAATAAATGCGCGAAGTTAACAAAGCAACAATTAAAAGGTTACCATTGGGTAACATCACCTTTTTTTTATTACGGCTGAAATTCTTTGGGGCATAGTGTTAACAATGTTTTGGCAAAAATTTGGTGTAAAACAATCCCATATTTCTTGAAGCTTTTGTCTCAGTTCGGTGATTGTACGAGCAGGATGTTGTCGTAGAACCTTTTTCTTCTCGTGCCACAAAGTTTCAATAGGTGACAGATCTGGACTGCTAGAAACCCATTCCAAAAGTGGTACATTATTTTCTTCGATCCATTTTATAGCCTTTTTTTGAGGTATGGCACGCTGCACCATCATGCTGAAACACAAAATCTTGGCCGGGTGTCAAACATTCTTCCATCACTGGTAAAAGCGATTCTTCTAAAATTGCCAATATTTGTTTGTATCCACATTTCCATCAGTAAAATGAAGTTTTTCTACTCCTTTTGATGACATACTGCCCCAGACCATAATGGATGCTGGAAATTTCACTTTTCTCTTCAGACAGTAAACATGGAATGCTTCATTTTTTTGCGAATAACTCTACTGCGACTGTCACCAACACAAACTTCGAATAGGGCCTCATCACTCCATTGTATTGCACACCATTGTTGAGGTGTCCATTGTCTATGTTCTTTAGCCCATCTAAGCCAATTTTTTTTTGCAGTGGAGTTAATAGTGGCTTTTCTTTGGCCTATAAACAAGTTGTGCAACTTTAGGGTTTTTACTTCACTTTTTTTATAAGAAAACTTGCAAGTGCTAAATCCCAGTTTGTGGGCCTCTCTATGAGTCGTGGACCTCGAAATTCTCCTTCCAACAGTGTCACTCCACAGAGCACTTAATTGTAAATAATGCTCTTCGGTCGGCATTTGTGATATTACTTTTTTTCACATATCGTGGCTTAATATTAACTGAGCCAGTTACGTTATATCTTCTAACAATATTTCTCACACTGTACCGCGATAAGTCTAACAAAGTTGCAATTTCTGAGATTGATTTCCAAGAATTAAAAAAATTAATTATCAGTAACCGAATTTTCTCACTAATAACCTTTCCTCTACCCATTTTGAAAACCTTAACTACCCAAAACTATTTTAAACGTATTCTGACAGCTGTGATTGATAAAAACAATTGTCATGGCTTTTATTTTTCATAGCCACCTAAGCGTTATAGACTTATTTTGCATTGAAATGAAAATAGGTTGATATGCAGTAATTGCAACATGTGTTATTTTTATGCTGCAAATTTGATTAGGGAGTGATAAAGTTGGTGTTTTCTACTATATATTATCAAAATATTCATTGTTAATATTTTAACCTATAACACCCTGCTACATTTTTATTATTTGTGTTTGATAAGAAAAAAACTAAGATTTCAATAGTTGGGCCAACTGAAGTGGGAAGGGGCTCGTAGTCATTTGTTTCATTTTCAACTAATCCTTATAATTTCCCATCTAATAGATATTCATTCAGCTAGTGGAGAACCCTGTACATGAACAATTTAGTTCTTATAAAAAATGTTTTCATTTAATCGTTGCAGCTGCTCCCCCAAATTTTCTACTCAAAGTACTCGTACCTTTACCCAACTACCCCGCGAACCAACTTACTATTTCATTTACCTCTGTACCCAATGTGTCCATGCTACAATAATCTTCAGGACTATTTTGATATATTCAATATCAGATTGTCATACATTAAGCGAACATATAAAACTGCGGTTTAGTTAGTGCGTATTACATTATTTTGTTTGTTATCTGCTGCATTTCCACCAGCAACTGGTACATCTGTTGCTGTTGTATAAATAAATAAATTAGATTTTTAAGTTTCAAACTAGAAGTCAATTTTTTATTACATTTTCAACAAAACAAAAAGAAAAGCCGCAGCTGCGTGTGTCCAGGGACTCGTGTTTCCCATTTTTACTCATTATTTTCGAATGCATCACGATAAAATAAGCCATCCCGGTACCATAACAATGAGGCCAAAACGTTTGACAACTTTCTTTCATATAAATTACATGGACAGAGAAAAGCATCCAAACTATTCAACTTTCATTTCAAAGTACTTATAAATTTCTTGCAGGCTCCGACCAGTGGTCACCCTGGCGAGCTCCCAATCTATGACCAGAAGATTGCAATAACGCAAAGAGACCGAACAAATACTAAGTCATAAATATATCTACTGAACGAAGCTACATTTGGTTACCTATTGATTGTAGCCGAGTATAGTGGTGTAAAGCATGGACTTCGATGCGTATTCATTCCCAACCGATTATGTTCCATTATATAATGCCCAGTCGAAATAATTCTGATTATAATTTCACGAGAGAGTGAAAATATCAATAGTGTCAGTTTGTCTTATTTAAGTACCATAACAAGATAATTATGATTTTAGCATTTAAGAATTTTATCAAGAATTAAGTCGATGTGAGCATGTATTGAACAGCGTTTTGTTATATAAGATGTCCCAGTTAACCGAACGAGTTTTATAGACAGTATAACTGTAAAAGATAATG